TTTTGTAAGTTCTATCATTATATTATCATCCTCATCTCCTCCCATGTTCTACTTTATCTTTACAATAGTTAATATTCTTAAATAATTTATATTTTTAATTATAATTTTTTAATATATATTTCAGAAATTAATCAATTATAATCTATTATTTGAAAAACTAATCAATTCTAATCAATAATTTAGAAAACTAATCGATTATAATTAATTATTTGAAAAAATTATCAAATATGATCGATCATTTGAAAATCTAATCGATCAGAATAAAAAAATGTGGTTGTATATAATAGCGGTTCCACTAGAACCGCTCTTAAAAGCGTACTTCTAATAGCGGTTAAACCTTAACCGCTATCTAAAATATATTTTAGATAGCGGTTAACCTTAAACCGCTATTATATCGTTTCAATTATGATCGATCATTTCAAAATATAATCGATCATAATGAAAACTTACATTAACTATTTTTTTGAATATTATGTTTTTAAATTTGCTATTAGAGATAACCTTTCAGAATTCAAAATGTTAAATACTTTTAAATATTAAAATTAACTTTATCAAAAATTAGGAAAAAAAATTAATCCAAAAGAGTTCAAAAATGTATTATAATATTGTCAATTTTGAGTTTAATTATATTATTCATTCTCAAAGTAGAAAAATATATTGTAATTATTTTAATTTAATAAAATATAATTTAAATTTTTAATACTAAAATTAAAAGATTAAATAATAATAAATTTATTTCTTTAAATTGAGTATTTAGAAACTAAAATTATAGTTTCTCTTTTTTAAAAATTGAAATAAATATTTAAAATAAAAATCAAAACTAGTATTATCTTAAATTTATTAACAAGTGTAATTAAATCTCTATTTTCTTAATTTTTTTGTTTTAAACTTCTCAATTCTACATTTTTGTAAGTTCTATCATTATATTATCATCCTCATCTCCTCCCATGTTCTACTTTATCTTTACAATAGTTAATATTCTTAAATAATTTATATTTTTAATTATAATTTTTTAATATATATTTCAGAAATTAATCAATTATAATCTATTATTTGAAAAACTAATCAATTCTAATCAATAATTTAGAAAACTAATCGATTATAATTAATTATTTGAAAAAATTATCAAATATGATCGATCATTTGAAAATCTAATCGATCAGAATCAAAAAATGTGGTTGTATATAATAGCGGTTCCACTGAACCGCTCTTAAAAGCGTACTTCTAATAGCGGTTAAACCTTAACCGCTATCTAAAATATAGTTTAGATAGCGGTTAAGGTGGAATCGCTATTATATAGTTTCAAATATTAACTATTTTTTTTAATATTATGTTTTTAAATTTGGAAATACGAAAACGTTTCAGAAATCAAAATGTTAAATACTTTTAAATATTAAAATTGACTTTATAAAAAATTAGGAAAAAAAATTAATCAAAAATAGTTCAAAAATGTATTATAATATTTTCAGTTTTAGTTTAATTATATTTTTCATTCTCAAAGTAGAAAAATATATTGTAATTATTTTAATTTAATAAAATATAATTTAAATTTTTAATACTAAAATTAAAAGATTAAATAATAATAAATTTAATTCTTTAAATTTAGTATTTAGAAACTTTCTTGAAAAGAGTGCTAAAGTTTGCTTGATTGATTGCTCAAGGATGTGTAAAAGCTGATGTTCAATGTGTGTTTAAAAAGTTCAAGCCAAACTGTTTTTATAGAAGATTTTCAAAACTGCTGGTTTAATCAATTTGTTAAAATAATCTTTTAATATGTTAAAAGTGCAGTTTTAATCTGTTAAAACTTCTTTTAATCCATTAAAACGTTCTTGATTCTTTAACAGATTTGTTTTAACTGATACGACAACGTTTATATCAATTAAAACTCTTTACAAAAAATCTTTTAATTTGTTTTAATCGATTGTTTCGTGATTCAATCGATTGAAATACTGCAAAACTTTATTGTGAGTTTTTCCAAGTGATTTTAACTGATAAAAATAAGTTTTAATCGATTAAAACGCTGTGTAGAAATTTTCTAAGTTTTTTAATCAATTGAAACATGTTTTAATCGATTGAAAAAGCTCTGATCGGTCATAACTCAATTCTGATCGATCATATCTGATTCTGATCGGTCATAATTACACTCTGATCGATCATCCTGAACTCTAAGTGGTTTTAATCGATTAAAACCAAGTTGTATTGATTAAAATACTGCAAAAACACTTCTCTTAACATTTTAAGTGTTTTTAATCGGTTATATCGAAGCTTTATCAGTTAAAACACTGACAGAAGGTTTTCAAAACTTTCTTTAATGAAAACAACCGGTTATTTCGAAATTATATCAATTAAAAACTTGTTTAAGAAAGCTTTTGTTAAAATACTTTGTTTTTAACTGCTTAAACGTATTTAGAGGCATTTTGCAAAATCTTTTAAGTAAAGAAACCTCATGCAGCAGAAAAGATAAAAATGATTATACCTAAGCATAGCTGAAGACACACTAATTCCTCTACTCTTTTATCAAAGTGACTGTTGACCGCTACAAAGTTGACTTTGACTTTATCTTTGACTTCATCAAATCAATAAGATCTTTGTCGAGTGTTCCAATAAGATCTTCATCACTTTCATACAATAATTAATATTCTTAAGTAATTTATATTTTTATTTATAATTGTTTAATATATATTTGAGAAATTAATCAATTATAATCTATTATTTGAAAAACTAATCAATTCTAATCAATTATTTAGAAAACTAATCGATTATAATTAATTATTTGAAAAAATTATCCAATATGATCAGTTATTTGAAAATTTAATCGATCATAATGGTTGTATATGATAGCGGTTCCACTGGAACCGCTCTTAAAACAGAACATCTAATAGCGGTTAAACCTTAACCGCTATCTAAAATATAGTTTAGATAGCGGTTAACGTGGAACCGCTATTATATAGTTTCAAATATAAATTTAAATATATTTTTAATTTATTTAAATATGCTTTATTTTTAGTATTTATAAAATAGATTAGTTTTAAATTTTTAACTTTTCTAGCAGTCTATTTTTAATCTTTGTTATTAATTATGTTAAAAATGAAAAAATATTAATTAGTATACTTAAACTAATGTATATGGATTATCTAATGTATATTGATATAATTTTTTTGTATATCAATTATATGAAAATAACCATGGTTAAGTAATTAATAATAATAAAGCAATAAATTTAAAGATTAGATTAAAAATAAAGTTTTATAAAATAAAATTGTAATAATTTGATTAAAATTTTATTTTCTTAATTAATTAAGTTAATGAGGAATTAAAATGTGATCATTTGATGTGTTTAATTTTTTTAATATAAATTTTTAAAATATAATTTAATTTCAATTGAAATTTTCAATTGAAAAATAAATTAAAGAATATTTATTATTAAACTTTTCTTAAACAATGTATTGAATAGTTAATATTACTCTAGTCTTAATTTATTACAATTTAAATTTTTAATAAATTTGATTTATTTTTAATAATATTTTTATTTTAGTAATTTAAAATTAAAGTTAATCTTCATTTTGTTAATATTGAGACCAAAGTTTATTTTTAAAGTATCTTTTAAAAATTAAATTATTTTTAGAAAATAAATTACTTTAAAAAAATTAATTGTCAAAAATATACTAAAACAATTAAAGTATATTTATAAAAAAATAAATTTAAATATCATAAAAAAATAATGTTCGTTAGCGACCGATTTAAATTCGGTCGCTATTTTCTCATTAGCGACCGATTATAATTCGGTCACTATTTCAATTTGTAATTCGGTCGCTAAATCAGTCGCTAAATGATTTTTTTATTTTGGTGTGGAATAGTCACCGATTTAGCGACCGAAATTTTGCGACGCAAACTATTGGTCGCTATTTCGGTCGCTAAATAACAAAATGAAAACCAATTCATATTTTGGTCGCTAAATCGGTCGCTAATTGCGACCGAATTAAAGTGGTCGCTGAATCGGTCGCTAATTGCGACCGAATTAAAGTGGTCGCTAAATCGGTTGCTAATTGCGACCAAAATTAAATCGGTCGCTAATTGCGACAGAAAAAATTCGGTCGCTAATTTCGGTGGCTAAATGTGATTTTTCTTGTAGTGATAATGATTAAATCCACATTAAATCCAAAAGTTATTAAATATTATGAATGTGATAAAGTAATATACGTGATGTGTTTTAAAAGGCGAAGGCATGCATACATGTTTTATGGTGGACCTCTCCCTCTAATTTTAGTTTTGAATTCCCATCCACTTTCTTTGGTCTCCAACAATTTATTACTAGAATTTTACTGCATAATAACACTATGGTGCAATTAGTTGAGCAAATATCTACGTATATAAAATACAAAATTGGTATTTACATATAGAGTTTCCATGACGTGTCGAACGTAGAGTAGCTACCTAGCTAGTGGCTAGTTATGTTGTGTAATGTACATAAAAGTAGGGTTAGTGTTTTAACTATCCTATAATAAGAGAAAGTTTTATACGAATGGATTGGAAATTGGATTATGCCTAACTTATGTTATCTAGTGGTTTCCTCGTTGTAAAACCAAAAAGAAGCACACACACATGTTATCCTAATTTACACACTCATCTTTGATATATCTTTGGTTAGGTTCATTTATAAATATCTTAAGAAAAAAGAAGGTGATTCAGGATTGATTTATAGTACCTATACTTAGGAGTTGTAAGAATGTTCCTTAGAGAAAAAGCAGATGAGATGAGTTTGAAGCTTGAATAATTCGCATAGAGAAAAAACAAAGGATGGTTTACAGAGAGGATTGAAATAAAATAGAAATGACATAATCTGTTTCTTGGTAGGTTTGTTTTGTATATAAAATATGGGAGCAGGCGTAATCACATGTGCATTTGCTGCACTGCACATCGCGCACACACCTTCTATTTCTGAATAAATATATACATTCAGTGTGTTGCTTAGAAGGTTGCAACGGTGAAAGGTGAAGGAAATGAAGAAGAGAATAGTGATCCTGGTTCCGTATCCAGCACAGGGACATGTGAGTCCCATGCAAAACCTAGGCTGGGTCTTCCAGGCCCAAGGGTTTCAGCCCCTCATTGTCCTTCCCCACTATATACTCCGCCAGATTCAGGGGGAGGAGAAGGAGGAGGAGGAGATGAAGTGGGTGGGGCTGGGTGATGGGCTGGGCCAGGACGAGGAGGACGAGGAGGAGAGAAGCCCAGATTTCTTCGCGATCGAATCGGAAATGGAGAAGAGCATGCCAGGGGAGTTGGAAGGGGTGATCGAGAAGGTGCGTGCAGAGGGCGGTGACGTGGCGTGCGTGGTGGTTGACCTGTTGGCTTCTTGGGCCATCGAAGTGGCTGAGAGGTGTGGCATCCCTTCCGCTGGATTCTGGCCTGCCATGTTCGCCTCCTATCTCTTCATTGCTTCCATTCCTCACATGCTCCGCCGTGGCCTCCTTTCTCACGCTGGTCTTCCTTCTCTTCCCTTCTTCTTCTTCTTCTTCTTCTTCTTCTTCTTCTTCTTCTTCTTCTTCTTCATCATCATCTTCATCTTCTTCTTCCTCTTTTCACAATTCTTATTTGACAAATCTTACATGATGATTACTTTTTGTCTTGCCTTTATCACCGGTTTGACAGTTGGTACAGGAATCATCTCCCATTTTTAATAAATGCTGTCAGCTGCCATTCCCATCTTCTATATTTCTTGGTCAAACTCCTATATATTAACTATACTCTTTTTTCCATTCTGGGCTTCCATTTATAACTATACTCTTTTTCCTACAACAATTCGCGTAAACAAATATATAATATAATAATAAACAGAAAACAATGAAGTGATTCATAAAAAATGACTTGAATATTCCTAATAAAAACATAAAAAATAGTTTAAACGGGATTCTTTTCTTACCAGTGGTTCTTTCCTATAGTTTTCACATAAAAATTTACTATATTCAATGAGAGTTTGTTTAATAGAATTTTATTTATAAAAATAGTATTTTAATGTGAAATTCACAAATATAAGTTCTTCAAAACTATCTTCATTAGATTTATATTAAAAAAATAATATTTTTACGAATAAAAAACTTGAATAAGAATGAGATGCTCTAACTAGTAAGAATTTTAATCACGAAGCTTTGAAAAAAATCAATCCAAAATTCTGTATGTATTTTTTTGCTTGAAAAAATACAAGTGAAAGATATTATCTCGCCTTTTGTCCCTACATGTTGTTTTTGTTTAAAGTTAAAATGCATACAAATTTATTGCTTTTCTGCACTCTACTCCTTTCCGTAAAAAATGTGAGATTCACGCTCAAATTTGCGAATTGTTTATGATGAGAAGTAGGAGGTTGGAGTGACGCGCGCGTGGTGATAATGACATAAACAGCAAAAACGTGGGAAATAGGAAATAATGTCGGGTGCTGGAGAATTCCTACGTAGTCAAATGCAACGTTAATTTGATGTGGCAATTAGGCCATTAATAGAACTATTTACCTAATTAAGAAGGACTTCATAAATAGATGGAGAAATGCAAAGAATATTACGTATGTATCAATTGGTTCTTGCCAGCAATAGCTGATGATATTGGCCTGCGTTTGTTTTTCTTTTTCTTTTGCAGGACTTCCACAACACGAGGGGAAACTTAGCCTTGATCCTGAGCTGCCGGTGATTTCAACTGAGGATCTACCATGGCTGGTTGGAACAGAGGCTGCAAGGAAAGCAAGATTTAAATTTTGGAAAAGAACTTTGGAGAGGTCAAGTGCTCTGAAATGGCTGCTGGTGAATTCCTTTCCTGATGAAGGCAAACTTGAATTGGCAGACAACAAGTTCAGTTCAGAAGGTTGTCCACGCGTGTTGCCGATAGGCCCTCTTTGTAGGAATGGGATAACAAAAGGTGTGAGCTTTTGGGAAGAAGATTTGAGCTGCTTGACGTGGCTGGCAAAGCAGAGGAGGAACTCTGTTGTTTACATCTCCTTCGGGAGCTGGGTGAGTCCAATTGGGGAAGCAAAGCTGAATAATCTGGCAGTGGCGCTTGAGGCTTCAGGGAGGCCCTTCATCTGGGTATTGAGGTCGAGTTGGCGCGAAGGCTTGCCAAATGGATTTCTGGAAAGGGTGGTGAAGGAAGACAGAGGCAGAGTGGTTAGTTGGGCCCCCCAGAAACAGATCTTGCAGCAGCAGTCTGTGGCTTGCTACATCACACACTGTGGCTGGAATTCCATATTGGAGGCTTTACAGTTCCAAAAGAAATTGGTGTGTTACCCTGTGGCAGGGGACCAGTTTGTGAACTGTGCTTATGTTGTTGAGGTTTGGAGGGTCGGTTTAAGACTGAATGGAATTGAAGCGAAGGATGTTGAAGAAGGAATTGTAAGGGTGATACATGACAAGGAGATGGATGGGCGTTTAAAGACTTTGAATCAAAGAATCATGGCTGGTACCGGAGCCTTCATCTTCAACACCTTCCTAGAAGATCTCAAGAGGGCATCTTCAAAGCCTTTCAGAAAATGATCACTCTTGAATTCATTCAGGTTTTGAGGTGGAGAGTTCTCAAACTATCCATATCATGTTTTATTGTGTAGTTTTATTGTTTAGAGGGAAATAATAAACACTCCACCTTCTCCTTACACTCTGTCATGCCCAATCTTTACTTCACTTCAATCTATGTATATTTTTAATTGAAGTATGATAATAGTTTTCCCCTTTTGTGTTTATTATAAGAAATTACCGAATTTTGATTTCGCTAAACTTGGTTGAACTTGTGTTGTGGTGGTTTGGTTTTTTTTTTTTCTTGAATGTTTTCTGTGAAGAACGATAACCTTGTGTTTATTCATTTAAAAACTACTCATAGTTTTTTTTATACTATGGTTATTCACGTATATGATGTATCTATCAATATATTTTAAAATTTTCAATATAATTATTTTGTGAGTTTTGATATTAATCTACCATTTTGATTAATGAACTATTTATGAAAATACTCAATTTAATAAATTTTTTTCTCCTTTAATATAGGGTAAAACATTTATTAAATTTCTCCAAAAAGTAAAATTATTCAAATTGTTTAAGAAAAATATCCTCTTTCAATATAAACTCAAATAAGTTATCCGCTAGTACAATTTTTTATTTTTTATTTTTTATTTTCGCTTCTTCTGCTGTTATTTATTTGAGTATTAATTACTTTTCCTTCATGATCGATATTTCATACCATCGTTTTGATTACTTAATGTAACTGTTTCTAGTTCATGAATTAGCAGTCTTAGTGGTCACGAATTGCTATTGTTAAGGTTCAAGCCTTGAAGATCTCTCCATGGTTTCAATTATGTGCAAATATGGCAGCAAAAGTAGCTAAAATAGAAAGCACATCCATAGCAGATGGTATGGTCTAGCTATTTTTCTGAAGCATGCAAATCTGAATTAACATGTTTCAGTGAAGAAAAGAAAAAGGTGTCATACATAGATGATGGTGGGTCTGAGAAGAGCCCTTCTTCATTGAAGAAATATTAATGTATCCAGAGCAGATACAGAGTCTGGGTGCCCCCAGAAGGGACCAGGATTCATTAATATAAAATATTTTTTTCACTAATTTTTCTCATTGTGTCTTTGAGACCTTTTCCTTTTCCTTCTCCTCTGCAGAAAATTCTCAAGTGATTTCTTTATGGAGAGGCCTCGCGAAATATGTACTAATAATGCTTCAGAATGCAAGCTTCTGCTTTCCACCATTTCTCTACTTGCCAACCATATTATCACTCTGGCCTGGCATGCACATTTCAGTTTCAGACTATACAATAAATCATTTCATTTAACTCCATCTAATTTTCATTAACAATACATTGGATAATTGTTTTCTCAGTTCCTTTCTCACATTTTCTGTCCTTACTTCATCTGTTGCTTCATTGTTAATTGTTTATTTAAAACTTTGCTCTTTCTAGTAACAACTGATCCAGTTAAAATATCAGCAGAAAGAGAATACTACTATTTTTAATATTTCAATTTGTCATCCAATATAAAATAACCTTTTAAAAGATAAATAAAATTGCATAATATATAGTTTCATTCTATCAAAAAGTATTTTCAGGTCACATGCTTTCAAGCACATATTTGGTAACACTTACTGAATAAGAAATTACTCATTTTTTATTTTAAAATAAGTTAATAAATCAAACGTTGAACAAGTCTGCAATTTTATTAACGAAGGGGTGAAAAGAAAGAAGCTTCGAGATATAACGGATAATTAGACATGTTACCTGAAGTTCTGTTGAGTCAAAAATGCAGTGGCGTCCATTATGAAGAATAGCTGCAAGTTTATTGTGTATGTTCAACGTCCCATTCCTACAAAAATATTGCAGAAAAGGAGGGAATTAGCAAAGTAAGAACAACTCCATTTGCTTCCTCAGATATATATATATATATATATATATATATATATATATATGTATATATACAATAGTATGGAGAAAATCAAATTTCAAAACCAAAATATTGAAAAGAAAGAGTCCAGGTTGCTTGCATTGAACGATGAGAAGAGGAGGAATGAAGACGAAGATCCAAATAGCAGTTTCGCTTCATATATAAATTGGAAAAGTGAAAAATGGAAGTATTTGGTTACGGGTAACAAAGATAGTTAACAGTTTTTAAGTGGTGCAGGAGGAAGCAATTGGGAGATGTTTGAGAAGTAAAAACGACAAGAAGAGACAGAGGTTTGAAGGGTGTTATGCAGAAATATATATATATAAGGGAAAGAAAGAAGTGAAGTTGAAAAAATTAAGAATGTGTGGGAAATGAGTTACACATGGCAAAACTATTGAATATGGTTATAGATATTAGGTAGCATAGCTATTGTGAGTTGCGTACCCGCGGCATTCAGCATCAATGGATCAATCAATGCCTTACTAACTCAATCTGCATTTTCATGTGGCTTCTATAACATGACAGCTACCATTGTTTGCTCTTCTAAAGTACATCATTGCCCAAATTGGAAATTAGGCCACTTGGTCGTCTTTACTTGGTTTTACTTTCTCTGTGTAACCCCCTCTTTCTGCATTATATGTGTCTTATACGTCCTCCTTCTAATTTCTTCCTCGTGATACAATTCATTTGAAAATGACATTTTTTAACTATTCCCCTTCCATTCTCAATTATGATTCGCACCTCATACATACTACACCCTTTTCTCATTTTTTCTGTCTTTCAACTTTATACCAAACAAAACTCATTCAGTTTTTTTGTAATTTTTTCTTTTCTATCACACTGTTTACCTCCATTTCTCTCTTTTTTTTGGCATTTCTGTCTTGTAAAATAAGAAAAGTTGTATAAATTTGAAGTAGAAACCTCGTTTGTTAAAACTGAACCTGATGAAGGAGTAGACACTTTTGCTGGTGGCATGTGAACAGTGTCCAAGTGTTGTCATGTGTCACGTTCCACGTGTGCGTGTGTGTGAGTGAGTTTTATGAAGACGTGTGTGGTTGTTCTACTTGATGATAAGAGTGTGAAATATCTAAGAAGCATGTGCTCCACTGTGTCGGCCTAATATCCTAAGATATTGAGGCAATGGGATATTTGTAGCATTTCCGGGTTAGTGGGGGATAAGGAAGTGGGAAGTGGGAATAAGGAATGAGGAGGAAATTAAAAAAATAAAAAATAAAAAAATTGAAGAAAGTAGATGGAAGAGTAGAAGGGTATAAGATGAGAGATGAGAAGGATGAGGCAAGCAATAAACCAACAGGCACATGCACGTGCACATGTATGCATCCCAACCCAAGTGTAATCCTTTATCGATGGTTCCTAATCTTGTTTGTTCAAATGCTACTTACTCACACCTTTTTTCGTCCATACGTACCTCCATAATCTTCAAAGCAAGCACATGATGGTTCAAGCATTTTGTCTTGTTAGTCCAAGTCATTTCGTAGAGGCCCCCCACATTCACAACTAATCTTAATAGGCAACATATGTTCCTCCCTCTGCTTGTTTGGAAAAATCACCAATAATTCGTCATGTTATATTCCCCTGCATCTCTTCCACCGTTCATCTCTTCTGCTTTTTTAATGGATATTTTTGGGTTTGCCTTCGCATTACATTGCACCGTTTTGAGATACTACGCACAGTTTTTTTTTTCAATGGTGTGATTTCATAAATAGGTAATTTCTAGTAATTTTTAACAAAGAAAAACAACCGGGAAAATAAGATGAGAGAAAAGACCAACAAAGACTTATTGCTTACGAATGAAAAACAAAGCTATATATACACGGTGTACCTAATGTAACTAATAGAAGCTAAGCAAATTGTCAATTACGAAGAAACTGATTGAAAAACTACTAATAGTTATACATGTTAAGAATTCCCTTCAAGTTGAGAATGAATATCAAGCATTCCTAGCTTAGCTTGGTATATATATTTTGAAAGAGCTTGAGACAATGTTTTTGTGTATACATCAGCAAGTTGTAAAGAAGATTAACACTGGCATAAGTAATCCATTATTTACTTTATCTCGAATAATGTCACAATCGATTTTGATTTGCTTAGTTTGTTCATAAAAGATTTGGTTAGAGGCAATCTGTAGAGCAAATTGGTTGTCACAATATAATAACGATGATCGAATGAAGGGAAGACGAAAATCTTTAAGCAAAAATGTCAGTCATTGGATTTTGCATGTGATAGAAGTTAAGGTGCGATATTCAACCTCCGAAAAACTTTGAGAAACAATGGATTGTTTCTTAGAACGCCAAGAAATTAATGAAGAACCAAGATATACGGAAAAACTAATAATAGAACAGCGAGGATCAATGCAATAAGCCCAATCAGAATCACTAAAAACTTTTAATTGAAGAGTATTATTTGCATCGAAACAAATTCTATATCAAGGTGTACCTTTCAAACAACGAAGAATACGAAAAACAACTTGACGATGTTCTGTGGTGGGAGAAGAAACAAACTGACTTAGATGTTAAACCGTGTAAATTATATCCAGATGAGTATTAATTAAACATATAAGGCGACCAATTAAGGACCTATAGGGAGTTAGATCAGCAAGAGCAATTCCCAAAGTGGAATAAACACAAGTATAATAGTCCATTGGAGTTGAAACAGGACGAGAATCAAGCATACCAGTCTTAAGAAGGAGATCCAATATATACTTTCAATGACACAAATGTATCTCAGAAGCCTTACGAGCAATTTCAAGATCAAGAAACAATTTGAGATGTCTAATATCCTTAATTTTGAAAGTAGAATCAAGGCAAGATGTGATATGATCAATTTTAGTAATATCATTACCAGCTAAAACAATATAATAAACATATACAAGAAAAGTTGTTGTGTGAGAGGCAAAGAATTTGAGGAAAAGAGAATGATCTGAGGTAGAATGATGATAGTCTTTGGATAGTAAAAAAGAAGAAATGTGTGCATACCATTGTTGATTGCCTGTTTAAGGCCATAAATGGATCATTGCAGGCAGCACACTTGTCCAGATTTGGGAACATGCAAGCCAGGTGGAGGTTGCATATACACTTCTTCATGAAGATCAATATGCAAAAAAGCATTATTAAAGTCAAGTTGTTTAAGATATCATTTATGAATGACATCCAAAGCTAGAATAAAATGAAGCAATGGTGAGTTATTCTACAATGAAAAATGTGTCAAGGAAATCAAGACCTTTCATTTGTATATATCCCTTAACAACTAAGCGGGTTTTGTAACGCTCTATGGTACCATCAATATTATGTTTGACCTTGTAAACCCAACGACAACAGATTGCGACTTTATGAGGACGTAAATCAGTGAAAATCCAGGTTTGATTCGATTTAAGAGCATTTACTTTAACGTGCATAGCCTTAAGCCAATAATCAAACTTGGAAGCTTCAACGTATGACTTAGGTTTAGAGATAGACATTATGTAGTGACGAAAAGAAGGAAAAAGGTGTTTATAAGAAAGAAAATGTTCAAGAGGATGACAAATACCTATAGAAGCGGTTCCAATTAATTTAAAAGTACTATGATAATCTTTAGGATAAATGGGAGGTTGTAGAGGACGAGTAGCACGTCTAGGAGCAAAAGGTTGAGGATCTGAAGACTGTTTTGTGTGTCTTCAAGGTGAGAATGTTGGTTTTGTAATGGAGTAGAAATAGAAGGTTCAGCTGAAGATGGAAAAGAAGTAGAAATGGGTAGAGAGAGTGGTGGTGAAGGCATAGGGAAAGGGTTATGTAAGTATGGAAAATGATCTTCGTAAAAGATGACATCCCTGTGAAACAATGAGTTTACGAGAATGTAAATTATAAAGAAGATATCCTTTCGTATGTGGTTTAAATCCTAAAAACACAGAGGAGTGTGCACGAGGATCAAGTTTCTTGCGTTGTGTAGGGATAGTGTTTGCATAATATAGGTAGCCAAACACACATAAATTGGAAATATTACAAATATGTTGGTGAAGTTTTTGAAAAGGTGATATATTATTTAAGAAAGGTGGTGGGATGCAATTAATAAGGTATGTTGCATGATGTAATGCAAAACACCAAGAGTTTTATGAATGATGCCTTTGGAAAAAAAGTAATCATGCATGGAAAACTCGACGCCATTATCCGTGGGGATGATTTTAATAGAGACATTAAATTTTTTTTTCTATTTGAGTAATAAAATGAACTATATAAGAACGTGTTTCAACTTTTGAAATCATAAGAACAGTCCATGTATAGCATGTGTGATCATCAATTATGGTTAAAAAATATTTATGACCATGCATAAAAGTAATGGAATAGGATCCCAAAAAGATTGAATAGCATGAGAGTTACTTAAAGGAAAGGATAATTTTCTTTGTTTAGCATGATGAGATGTATTACAAGCAAAAGTTTGATAATTGCACAAGCAAGAATAGGTTTGTTTCCTGATTTTTAAACGTTGATAGGAAAGGTAACCTAAGCGAAAATGTTATATGTCTATGAGTGTGTTATTGCAAGAAGGTTGAACAATAGTAGAATGGGTAAAACAAGTTGCACCAAAAGGAAGATCAATGGTATAGAGCCCAACATTTACACTAATTGTACCAATTTTCTGCTTGGTGTTCATGTCCTGAATGAAACAAGAATGAGAAAAAAGAAAGATCATAATGGATAGATGAGACAAGTTTAGAAATGAAAATAAGATTGAACATGAAGTTAGGGGTATACAACACATCTCTAAGATAGAAACAATAAGAAAAATGAACATTTCTAGAGTGTGTAGCAAAGACTTGTTGATCTGATAATTTGACAAAATAGGTTTGATAATTTTGAAAGAGGAAAAATTATTTAAAGAGGAAGAGACATGGTATGTAGCACCTGAATCTAAGATCCAAGTAGTTGTAGATTGTGTGTGAATGTTACCTGATGAAGAAGAAATGAAATTTATTTGGTTTACATGAGAAGGAGAAGTTGAAGATCCCCTGTTTGGTTGTTGGCTTAAGGCCAACAAGGCTTTATATTATTGCTAAGGTGGAAAATGAAGACTCTGATTCTCAATAACCAGTTGTTGATCATTTTATTTGACTTTACCATTTTCAATCACAATGTTATTAACAATGGTATGCTTGAAATTGGAGAATTTGTGCCCAGGAGGAAATTCATGCTTGCGATAACAGACATTTATAGTGTGATCCGTATGTCCACAATGAGTGCAGATTTTACCATTGTGATTGTAAGAGGTTTACCATATTTGACATCACCATTTATGGGAAATTCATGTTTACGATTGCAAGAATTCTCACTATGACTGGAGTAACCACAATAAGTGCAAGATTTGATAGTAGTTGCATTCCAAAGAATCTGATGCAAGATGAGATATGGATCCAAGAAGTTGACATTCTTAATGTACAACATATGAAAAGATCTTGCATATAGAGGGTAGTGAATCCATGAGCAGAACATGTGAACAAATATTGTTGTACTAACCATTTAAGCCTCATAAAAACTGCAATTGCTATGTTTTCAAGCTTTCGCCGTGCAATAATGGATGAAACTTGACACAAACACTTCATAGAACAAGTACACACTGGGCTTGGTCTAAAATTTTCTAACTCGTCCCACACAATCTGAAGTTTAGTAAAGAAATCAATTACAAAAAGATCACCTTATCTCATTGAAGAATCTTCATATTGTAAATCGGAGTAAAAAGTCTCCATAAGAATAACGAGATTGCAAATTGTTCCATATTTCGTCTACTTTATCCATCTAGAGAATGCTATGGCGAATAAAAACAACAACCGAAACCATGTATTGCATCGGAGTCAAGTACTGTACAAAGGATAAAAAATTAATGGTTATCATGTAGTTCCATTGACGAATTCAACTTTATTCTTCGCGCTTAAGGCTGTTGACATTAAATAACCCCATAAATGATAATTGGTGGAATCAAGAAGAGGAGAAACAAGAGCAATAACTGAGTTTTCGCTTGGATGAAAATAAAAGTAATTGTGCACACTAAATGTTTGATCACAGTCTCCACTCATGATGGGGAAGAAGTACAGTAGAGCTCTTTAAAAGTAAGAGCTTTGAAACCGTAACAAAGAAAAACAATCGGGATAATAAGATGAGAGAAAAGCAATAAAAGACTTATTGCTTATGAAAGAAAAACAAAACTATATATACATGTTTAAGAGTTTTACTCTTCCAATTTCCAATTAATAAATTTCAACGGAACTGTTTAACTAATTCTAAGATGCCTTAAGGCTTAAATTCCAACAACTTTTTTCTTTTGTTTTCTTTATTTTGTCATGCAAGTGCTTTTCCTAGGGTACCAAATTTTCATTTTATGTGCGCACTCAAGGGTGTTTTCACTTAAGAGGTAGAATTAAGTGGATAGGATTGTTTGTCAGCGAAAGGAAAGAACATAACATACGAAAGTCATGTTTAACTATGTTAACGGTCCGTTCAAATCTTGGTTCACACCTTCAAGTGGAAATCCTGATGTTTGATTGTAGTGTATGTTAAAAAAATAATAATAATAATTCTGCATAGTAATCGAGGAAGACTGTCCTGAACCAATTGTATCAACTGTTGCCATGTTGCGGCGGCAGTTCTACCGTCGTTGATGATTGTCTTTGTTGTTGATGTTGTCCTTGATTTTCCTGTCCCTGTTGCTGTACATGTTCGCGACGCTGCTGCTCTGTCATGTTAGCATTCTCAATGGAAGATTGAATCCTCCTATTTCTCCATCCAATAAATTCCATAATCAGAGAATTCACAGTGATTGCAATCCCAAACCCAATGAATGAGGAAAGGAGAATCGAGAGAACGGCATTCAAATTCAGCTACAAAAGTAAGAAAAGGTGCATGTCAAAATACATATATGTTTAATCTCACCAGTCCCCTATATCTTCATGATGTCAGGATAGGAACTATATCATCTTACAATAGTATAAAATACATGAGCTAAGAGGATAAGAATTGCAAACTGGAAGCAGGCATAAGCCCAAACGAAACTCCTGCTCACTGCCACCAAAACAACACAACTGGTGTTAATGAGAAAATAATAACTCAGTATCATGTGGTCTAGAGCATAGGGATTAAAGCAACTCCAGAGGGTCTAATGAGCAGGAAAATTAGAGTATGGGTCTCGTTCAAATCAATTTTCATGTCAGAAATAATAGGACTATGTCAACTTCTATTACCATTTTGCCAAAACCCAAAAAAACTTGGTTTCTTTGAACTCACCTGACTTAAAAAACCGACAGATAATCTGGTTCAAATAAATGAGCAAGAGATACTTGAAAATGCATTCTTCCTTAATAAACCACATTTAGACACTTAGGGGGTGTTTGGTAGGCAGTTCTTTTATGTTTCCCAACCAATCTTAGGTTGAGAAATGTTAAATTCCTATGTACAGACCTTGTCACTTTTTCAATTCTTTTGGTGGTAGGGAAAGCTAACATAAGGTATGACATTTTCAGGTCTACTGAAGAAAGACATACTATAGAAATAATTCCAGGTCAAAATGGTGGCCAAATCAATTGTGATTTAAATGTTTATATGAATCTACGTTAGTCCAATATTTGTCAATTATAATGCATTATTACTTGTTAGTCTAATAGTATTTGTCAATTTTCATTGCATGTATTCCATTTTAATATTTCATGATTGATTTTTACTAATATCCTTGTCTTTAACCAATTATAACATGCTCACTTTCAAAGAAAAACATAACTTGCAATTCCATTATAACCTACTAGCTGAATTCTAGCAATACACTATTAGTAACTCTTTCCAACACACTTCTACTATTCTTTAAAATTCACGCAAGTCTTAGTAAATAATAAATAGGATTCATTAAGTAGGAGATGAGCCCACATGAATATAATCCAATAGAAGGAATGTATTGCTGATATTTCTCTAGCCTGCTTTAATAAATTTGATAATTATACATGAATACAGTTCATTTTCATGCTTTGAAATAATAAAAATAAACACCAGCATATAAATGAAAGCAAAAGGGCAAACTAAGGAAACTTAAACATAAAATGACTTTGATATGCCACGGAAGACATAAGAAAACAACTTTACCCATAGTTGACGCAATCATAGAAGAAAGGAAACCTAAAACACAGGAGAAAGGTACTGAAATGGCAAGAGCACGAGGGCCCAAATCTGAAACCTGGTAAACTAGAAACCATTGGGTCAGCCATAGATTTCACACAAAACAGTTAAAATATTAACAAAGACAAAACTGGAGTAAATAAATGAAGAATATATAGTATTATATGCAATTGCTCTCATATAAACAGTCATTTAGGCATGGCCTTCTAGTAGTAAGTAATAATAAATAGACAAAGAAACAGTATCTCCCTTTACTCCCCAAAATACACTCAGGTGCAAAAATGAATTCCAATAAATAATAAAATAATAAAATGCAAATAATCCCATTTGTTTAAATTTGGTCCTACAAACCACCTGAAATATAAAGCTCTTTTTTCCACTCCTTCAGCACTAATTATGTGTTTCCTGTTCTTTATGCCCCGAAATAAAGACATTTTCCTACATTTGTAAAGTGAGAAAATTGAAATACTCCCAGTAAATGAATTATACTTTTTAAATCACCAATTGACAACTACAAGTTAGGTGAAAGTAAATTTCAGAAGCAAGTTTCTCATGTATATGGCAGTGTGACCAGTGGATGCAATAAGCCCAAAATCATAGCTTGACGCATGCATTGCAGGTACAAAGAAAAGCATACCATTAGTTGCTCTAGAAAACAAAAGTAAGCAAGCATGCTGACCAAGATAAGTACTGGTACATCCTGCCAGATCCTGTAATGCATGAAATAGCTAGAATACATTACAATTAGAAAGAAGAGATTCACTGAAGATTTGTCATAGGTTTTTGCAGACTTAACAAGAAGGTGATATTTGTGTCATTTTAGGAAGAGTATCTTACATATTATCTGTTACATTACATGCATCATGTTCTTAGTTTTTCTTTTTATTTGCCTTAGATTTTGAGGATTTAGGTTTTGACATGTTTTTTTCTTAAAAAGTACTTTGTTCACCAAAAATAAAAATAAAAATAAAACGAGATGTATATGTTAAGTTGTTCAAATTCGGAATCAACTGCATATTTTCTTATACCGCCCATCAGCCAAGAGCATATGGAGTAGGCTTTTCAATGTGTTTGATGGGCCTTGGATTCTTGGAGCAGATTCTCTAGATTAACTTAAAAAATTTGGCAGGAGCATAGGGTAAAGTTTTGATGCAGTGTCGTGTACACTGTTATTTGTGTCCTAGAATGGAGAAAAGCTGCATGGATATTCAAGGAAATATCCTTCAACTTGATGTAGGACATGACTGTTCTGGTGGCATCTTATTGGACCTCAGCACATGAATTCTTCCAGGGAGTTTCTTAGGTGGACGTAAAGAGGGATTGGACTACCCCCGTTATTTTCTTTGAAAAAGTTAAAGGAAAAAAAAAATCTATTTGTAAATATAAATCATAACCTCTTAAGCTGAAGAATGATAAATAAAAAGAATAAGCCATCAGCTAGTGAAGCTTGATGAAGACAAAGCCAACAAGTGAAGCACCCTCATGAGAAGCCCCAGATCAAAGACCAAAATGTAAAAGCTAAGCCAAAGATTGAACTATCAACTCAACCTTGAAGACCAAGAGCTGAAGACTTCAGCGTATACTATAAACTCTTTTTATCTTAACCAAGTCTAGCTCAAATGATCCATCTAGGTTTTAAAACAAAAATTGAACTAATAAATGAACCCTAAAGCGGATCCTACAAAGAACAGAAAGACTTAAAGCTTACAAACTTTGCTTTTTAGGGTGAAAGCGTCCAAAGACTCAAGTCCCATTCCATGATCTGAACTCAAGTTTTGAGTGCAAGACTTGAGTTTCTTCAGTTAAAAAACTCAATTTACTTGAAAGATTCGAACTTGTTGACCAGACCCGAATCCCACGAAGCAAATGAGCAATCTAATTAAATTTTCCTATCCCAAAGTGAATCAAACTTTTTTCTATGTTATGTAATCTTTGGATTTCAACACAATTGAGATTTTATCTTTTAAAACCACTGAAATAATGAAAAGGATATTAAGAGATGTGTGGCACCGTAATTAAACATAACTGTAATTAAGAGATTTTATCTTTTATAACACCGTAATTAAACATACCTGTAATAAACTACTTCTGTCTGGTTTGGCACATTTGACGTCTGCCTAAAAATAGTTTGACGATTATAAATTTTCAACAGTGTTACTGGGAGGTTTTGGACATCCTGCTTGCAAACATCACATGTCCTGTTTCCCTTTATACTAAACCACTTCACTGCACATTCTCGGTGAGCAAGTGCAAGATCACCTCTACAACTGCATTCCATCTTAAGTGTACTCCCTCCTTCCCCAAGCTCCACCAAACAAATCCTACAAACTGCTTGTTCCTCTGGAATATCCTCGGGGGCATCTTCAATGGCTGAAAAGGAAAGAACAGATTGAAAAGACGCAGAGGAGGAGGAGGAGGAGGGATTTAAGTATATGGTTAACAAGACTGAGAGAACAATGAGAATAGTATATTGATTAAAAAAAAAAAATCATGGTACGAAAAATTCTACCCCTTATTAACATGTTTCTATTTAAATATCAAGCATCCTAACTCAGACAGAAAAAGACAATGTAATCTATAAACCAAAAACCTAAAATCAAAATTAAAAGTTAACATCATTATAGACTCCATTCAGTATTATTATTTGTTTTTTTTTTTTTTTTAATTTGGAGAGTCCACTGCAATAGAATAAAAGGGTTTTCTTTAGATTATATATATCCAGGAAACCTCTATTTCCTTTCATCTATATTAATTTTGCCAATTTCATTTAATTTAGTGCTCAACTCAATATCCAGAAGTTGTTGTTTGTCAAAATGACAGAACATTTCAAATTATACATATTGTTGATCAAGAAGTTAAAAAAAAAGGACGTTTGAAAACCTAATAATTCCAAATATTTTGGGAAATTACCAATCTCTGGAACCAAAGATCCATCAGTTCGGTATCTACCAACAGTTTGAAGATGCGGTTTTGCCGATATTACACGAATCAAGCCCCTGGAATCTGTAACCTTTAAACTAGTGCTTTTGCCATTAGCTGGGACAGAAAATGATCGAGTCATAATCCGACGAACACTCATTTTCTATACAAGAAGAAAAGGCATTTATTTAGCAACGTATGCAATTTTTCGAAAAAAATAATGAAAGTAGTTGTTCTGGTCTTGAAAGAAGAATGAACAGTAGAAACATACACTTGAACTAGAATCACACCCAAGATGTCTTCCATGTCCATTCTCTGAAGCCGAAGTTGCAAATGGAGTAACTGGTAATGAATGTGCACCTTTTGTTGATTGGGAGATGACCTTATTTTTAAGAGACAGATGGATTGAAGTGGAAGGTTTATCCAAAGGAGCATCTGATAAGGGAGTTTTAGGAACTATGAGACCTGTCCGTTCAATATCCGGGGAACAAGTATTTGTCTTTAAGCTCCTCTGAGGAAGTAAAGTTCTCATTGAAGATCTGAATTTGGCTGAATTTGGCCTTGGAGGAAGTCCTCTAGTGGAACCAGGACTTGATCGTGAAACTGAAGGACTATCGGTCTTTGCAAAAGTAGATAATGCAATATCTAGTGACCATGCTGGTATTTGCAGTGAGGATAGATTAGGTCGTCTGCACCTTGGAATCTTGGAGGCCTTGTCACCCTTTTCATTTCCAGCACATGTCTACAAACAATGCCATCAAAGTAAATTCAGCGCCGGTCCTGTTTCTATTCCTTTTACGATGGCAAGGTATGATGATTAATGATTACTTTAGTCTATCCAGTTAACACAAATTGCTAAAACATTGGAAAAAAAAAATTAACAAAACAGATTATTGTACACTGCCACACTAAAACCCATACCAAAACACAAAAGGAAAAAAAAAAAAACAAGATCTGGAATGAAAAATAAAATATAAAATAAGCTAATAGTCGCATTACGATTGTTCAGATAAAACCCAATCCAGGGTTTCTTCTGTGAAAAAAATATATATATTTAGAGTAACCTGGGCAGGATCTGGCCCAAAATCAGCATCAAGTTGAAGCTCAGCATCAGCACCGTCACCTCTATTTTCCATCCAAGGAAACGCTTTGGCAAAACTGTTACAGTCTCCGCATCAAATACCCAAATTCCATAATGTGTATTATATTTTGATTTAATTATGATTAGCATTATAATAACGGAAGGAAAAGGAGGTGACAATGATGATACCGATCGGAAGAGGGGTTAGGGTTCCTTCGATTCAGATAATTAATTGATTAAGTAACCAAACTCGAAAGATTATTCACTTTTTTAGAATTGTTATCTCACGACTATTACCCGCCAACTGCAACTCGTGATATGCCAACTTTATGATCCTTCCACTTCTCCCACGATTCTCCATTTTACGTTTTTTCTCTTTCCTTCCTCTGCACTTCGCTCACACACACTTTTCTTGGACTCCTCACACGCCTCTTTCAATTCTTTCCCATTTTCCCATCTTTTTTCAATAGTCAGTTTCATGTCACAGATTCAAGAAATATACAAAAATAATAAACGCCATTTTCCCCCCCTCATTTATGTTCCGTGGCGTAGCTCGTCTTCAGCGTGCAAGTGATGACAACTTTTCTGAAAAAATATAATGTCAACAACTTTTGTTATAAATAAAATATTATAGAGTTTAATTTCTGTATACTATTTATTTGTATTAAAAGTTTTACGCTCTCAAATGAAATATATTAGTTATTAATACTTCAGTATATATCATATTATGATTTATCTATAATGTAAAAGTTATTAATACTTCATTGCATAAACTTTATTCTCATTTGTACATTTTTTTTTAAATAAACATAATTATTGCAATGTAACAAAAAAAATTAAGTTCAGTTAGGGGAGAGATAAAGAGTTTTTATATTGTCATGTATATAATAAGTTTATTGATCAATATAATAATTATTTAAAAATATATTAATGATGATAATAATTATATGAAAAATTATGATATCAAATGAACATTAGTAGAAAAAAAAAAACAAAGACGTCTTTTAAATTTAGAAATAGTTGGTATACTTTAAACTGAAACAATCTAACTCTCATTGGTATATTTTATGAACAGAACGAACCTATTATTTTATACTCCTGAATTTTCAAAAAATGAAGGAAATGAGATTATTCTTATAGGAAGATTTTATTGTTTTAGAAAAAAGAAAAATCGATTATAATTGGTAGCAAAATCAACTGAGACGCCAAGACAAAGAATAAGCTAAACACCTCCTTAACAAAAGTCACCGTGGGTCATTTTGAAGGATTTGAGAGTCACGTAGCAAATTTAATAAAGAGACTTTTTATTTAATAATAAAATAATTTATGTTAAAATATATTATAATTTTATTTAAAATTTATTTTTTAAGTTTTTTATATAAAATTATTTATTAAATTATCATAATTAATTTTATTTAATATTTTTTTAATAAATAATAAATTCAATTCATTTAATATTTATTGAAATATGATTAATCTTAAATAATTTTTTATTATTTTTAATTTTGAAAAACTTCTATTAACTAAAACAACTGATGTTGGAATTGTTAATATTATTTTATAAGTTATATATGTATTTGGAAAATAATTTATTTTTTTATATAAATAAGAATGTCAATTGGTTTATCATTTTCAATCTTATAATTTTCTTTAAGATGTTTAATTCTGAAAATAAATCTAATCCATTAAGATTCAACAAATTATCATGTTTCAAAGATTTTTCAAGATTTAAGTATTTTTCTTTCAAAAGTATATAGTTTAGTGATTTTAATTTTTTAACACTAAATAAAAAATCAAAAATATCTTCATGTATTTTAAATTGTTCAAATCTACTTTGAAACATGGTAATTGTTTTATCTATAATGTATGAAAAGTAATCAATTCTAAATGATTCTTGAAAAGATTTTACAATTTCATTATTAACATTTTCATCGAAATTAATTTATTTGTATTACTAACTACTTTACGTATTAAACTATTGTTTCTTTTACCTATGTCTATATTGTTATTATCTTGTTCATTCAAAGAACACCCACCTGTATTTTCTAATTCATTTTTCTTATCTATTTTTATAAAATTATTCATAACTCTTTTTTGTAATGAAATTAAAGTCTCGATTTTTTCTTCTTTTGGAGTTTTAAATAGTCTGATTCATATTTTCTAGTTGACATATCTATATATTTTTATATGTAATAAAAAATTATAATATATAAAACACTACTAAAGATAAGTATATAAAAAAGAATGAATAAAACCCGATTTTGATTGTGAGTTGTCAAGAAAATAAACGGTAAATTGGAAGAGACATTATTAGAGTATCTTAATATACAACAAGTTTTAAATTTTAGATTTTTACCTAATGTGACGCATTGTCGCATTGGAAAGAAAGAAATGTCAAATATTTTTTGCTTGAGTTGCGTTGCCTCCTTCTACCCCTTGAAATCAGTGAAATCGAAATACACACAAGCAGAACGCCAACAACCAACACAAGCACGCAACATATAAGAGATGACTTAGACGAGAAATTGAAAATATTGAGTCATTAACTAATGTGTTATGTGTATGTATCAAACACTCAAACTGAGTAGTATAAAAAATAGAGAGAATGAATAGATGAGAACTAAAAAGTCACATAGAGAGAAAAGAAAATAAAAATTAATTAGTAAAAGAATAGAAATAAAAAAAAAACTTTTGAACTTTTTTAATTATTAATATTAACTAACAATTTTTTTAAATTATAATTTCTTAAAAAAAATTGTTAGAATTGGGAGGCATTTCTTTACTTCCAAGTCTCCTATTCTTTTAAGCATAGACAAAGACATTAGATTTATACTAACACCCAAATCAAGTAATGACTTACCTACTTGTAACATTGAAACTGCCAGGATCCTTGGACTTTTGAGGTAATGATTTCTGAATTATAGCGCTGCATCCTGCTTCTAGCTCCACTGTTTCTGCAGTAAATCTCTTTTTCTTAGTTAACAACTCTTTCATGAATTTTGCATAAGTCAGCATCTGCTCCATAGCTTCCATAAATGGAATATTGATATGTAAATGCTTGAAAATATCCATGAATCTTGCAAATTGTCTTTCTTTATCTATCTGGGAAGGATGACGATGATATGGTAAATCCTTCAATTGCGGTATTTGACTCTCATCTTTCTCCCTTTTTTTTCACTCTTTTTATTTTTCTTTTCTTTTTTAGTATTTTTTTCTTTTTCTATATTCTCTCTTTTATTTTCCTCTTTTTCTCCTTCACACTCATCTTCTTTTTCTTGTAGGATTTCCTTCTCTACAGCCAGATTGTCACAAATATCTTCTCTTATAACCTTACCACTCCTTGTAGTTATTGAATTGCATTGCTCCCTGGGGTTGGTTTGTGTATTAGTTGAAAATTGTCCTCCTTGCTGCTGCTCAGATAGTTGCTTAGTCAGTTGGCCTATTTGGATTTCTATATTTCTAAATGAAGCCTCAGTATTTTTCTGATTAGCCATAGTACCTTGCATGAATTTTTGTAAAGTATCCTCCAATTTACTTATTCTGTCAGGTACTGAAGGATAATGTTGTTGCTGCTGTTGATATGAAGGTTACTGATATGATTGTTGTTGAAATGCAGGTTGTCTAGTAGATGAGCTAACACCTTGGTTCCACCCAAAATTCTGATTCTGATTCCCTCTCCATCCTTGTGCAATATTATTCTGATAATTGTTAGGATTAGGAAAATTACCTTGTCTGCCGTGACTACTACCTTGGGCACCCATATAATTAGCTTCTTCTTGTTGAATGTTGCCTTGATAAGAACATTGTTCATTTGCATGATCACCTCCACACACATCACAACTCATCTGTTGATTAAGAATAGATTGTACTGTGTGCATTTGTTGAGGTAATTTCTCTATTTTCTGGTTCATTGCTTCAATTTGTTGCGTTATAAGTTTATTTTGGGCTAAGATAGCATCTGAGTTGTTAAGTTCAAGTACTCTCTTCCTTTGAATTGAATGTCTATCATGTTGGGCATGTTGGTCTGTAAAGGCTAGTGCATCAATAATTCTGGTGGCATGACCAATTTCTACATCCAACATAGATCCTCCTGCTGCAGCCTCTAATAACATCTTTGCATCATGTCGCAAGCCAGTATATAAAATATTCAACTGAGAAACGTCATCAAATCCATGATTTGGGCATCTTCTCAACAGTGATTTAAATTTCTCTCATGCTTCACAAAATTGTTCATCTGCTCCTTGTCTGAAAGAAGTAATGTCAGATTTTGCTTTGATGTAACGGAATGGTGGGAAAAATCTATTCAGAAACTTCTCTTCTACACTACTCCAATTAGTCAGACTCTGATTAGGATGTGTTTTCAACCATTCCTTTGCCCTACCTGCCAAAGAAAAAGGAAATAATATCAAATATGTAGATTCAAGATTTGGTGCTCTAAATCCCATGGTACCAATCAACTCATAAAAAGTAGACAAATGAATATAAGAGTCTTCATGATCCAATCCAGTGAATTGATGAGCAATAATCAAGCTTAAGAAAGCTGGATTCATCTGCAATGTATGATCATCCGAAATAACAATGCTGGAAAAATGTCTTGGACCTTGTTGCATAGCATAATTTCTAAGAGTTCTTCTAGGTGGATCTGCATTTGAGTTTTAATTTAGATTTATATTGAGATCTGGATTTAGATTCAGATTTGTTCCTTCTTCCGCCATATCTTCTATAATTGGGCCTGGTAAATCAAGTCTGAAAGAAGAATTAACAGATTCTCTTGTAGTTTGTTCTTGAGTTTCCCTTCTTCTGAAGATACATGTCCTCTTAAACGCATAAATCAAAAGAGTAACTCAAGCAAATATTATCACAAACTAAAAACTAAATAATAATAATAATAATAATGATAATAATGATAATAATAATAATGATAATAATAATAATAATAATGATAATAATGATAATGATAATAATAATAATAATGATAATAATGATAATAATAATAATAATAATGATAATAATGATAATTATAATAATAATAATGATAATAATAATAATAACGAAATAAAAATAAAATACTCAATAAGCTAAACAAAGAATTCTCAAAGAACAATCCATATATTTTTGTGTACTTTCTTACTTTTCTTTGTTCAAAAAATATATTCTCATGCATGATGCGATTGTTCCACATGTTTATTGTCGTTGTTATTTAAAATTTTTATTCAAAATATCCTTACTTTTAAAATTCACTAATAAAAAAGTTCAGTAAAAATACTCATCAATAAAATAATAATATTTTATATTTTTTTATATATATCCAAAATCATCAAAACATTTAAATAAATATTTTGATATTACATGAGATATCCGGAAACTATTCCATTTTGATACATTGAAAATTATTTCAAAATATATAAGATATATTCAAGAAAAAAAATCTCATAATTTTCAAACAATTATAATTCTAATATTATTATATATAAAAAAATTGATGTCATATACATTATAAAATTAATATAAAAATATATTGAAAAGAAGTTAATGAAGTATAAATAAAATAGAAAGAAAAAAACATATTTGATTGATGAGAAAGTTGTAGGAAGGTAGTAAGTATGTGGGAGAAGAATGAAGCATGGTGGAAGGGGAGTAGAGGAAGGTAGGAGGCAGTTTCTTGTTTGTAAAAGTCGAGTGGCTGTCTGCCATATTGCCAATGCCAATAAAATCATTAATCATTTCCCTTTAATTCAACCCATTTTAATTCAAGACTCCAAGTCAACCACGTTTATACAACTTTTATTATAATATTTTTCGTTTATTAGTATTTTCCATAAATGTTTAAATGCTACACACCTTATAATAACATCAACTTAAACATCTGTTTATAGAAAATATAAAATTTGGAAGAAAAGATTGAAGTTACTACTTTTTCTGATTAATTGAGTAAAAGTGACATGTGGATTTTGCGCTAAAAACCAGATGGTGGAGAATATTATTTCTGTGGACTTGTGTTTAAGAATCTCCGTGAAGTACTATTTTTTTCATGCTGTATTGTTTTCTGTACAGTCACAAACCAAGTTCATAATCTATGTTTTGGAAAGTGATTATATATGTTAATCGGTTTATAATTAACTTGTTTCTTGTATGAGAAATTAACACGTGGTCCCTAAATGGAGGGCCAGGATGTTCCACTGAGTTGGTAAGTAAGAAGCTGACGAAGTAAGAAGATTGAAAATGGAAACGACCATAAATAGGGCACCATTGCATAATTTTCTTCCTTCCTCACCATTGAAAAAACCAAATTGTGTGTTCCCTCTCCTGCATGACTCATGTTATCATGTCAGGTCCTATTCCTAACGATAACTGGCTCCATTTCTATCAACAAACCCAATTCTCCGGCGCTCAAGAGATGCTCCCATCGCCTGTTTCCGAGGCTACAACCGTCACAACCACCGCGGCGCCGGCCCAGTTGAGCCCAGAGGGACGGGTGTCGAAGCCCATGAGGCGGCGTTCCCGGGCCTCGAGGAGAACACCGACGACTCTGCTGAACACGGACACGACCAATTTCCGGGCCATGGTGCAACAGTTCACTGGCGCTCCTTCTGCGCCTGATCTGTTTGGGCCGTCGCGTCCAGTGCCTGTGAACCCAAATGGGTTCATGCTGACCGCTTCTCACTCTGTTCACCACCACCAACAGCTCCTTTATCAGCAGCAGCACTACCCAACAACATACACGGAAGGAGGAGACGGCGGTTTATTTGAGAGACTGAGCAACCCAACAGCAACAGCAACAAATGATGGAGGTGGGGTTTTGATGGAGCACGGTGGGCGTTTCTTGCCAACTACTTCTTCTTCTTGATTGCCGGGTGGAAAGGAAGGTTAGAAGTTTCTTCCCACTCAGACTGAGAGCGACATATGCAAAGCAGAAATTCGATAATTAGGTGCTAACTGTTGACCAACCCTATCTGTGTCAATGTGAAATGGAATTTTATATATCTTTATGGTGTAGTGTAGGCACCACACTTTTTCAGATTTATCTTATTGCTTTTGGTTTCCTTGCTTGAAATCGAGCTATTTTCTTTCTTCTTATTATTATTACGAGGACGATGATGAGCTTCTTTATCTCCTCCTGGGTGTTGGTCCATGGCTTTTATTTCTTTTTCTTTTGTTAAAATACGTGTATTTGTTTTTTATATCATTAGTTAACCCAATTATATTTAGTTCTATTGTTTTGGATAATGGTCACTTGGTTACAGCCTGCCAACCAACACTCTTTTGCGTATGTTGACTTGCTTCCTTAGTATACCTGTCTCTCTAACACAGCGTTATTCATACAATCAATTATATTAATTCTTTTTTTATCAAATTACTTATTTTATTCAGCAATAATTGTTGGACACCAAGCAACCTCTATTGAACACATGAGAGATAAAGGAGAAAATTTTACACTATACACCATGATACGATAGAAAGATCTTGAGAGAACTTATGGATTTTAAGTGAAGTGTGTAAAATGATGGAGTTTCGAATATTAAACCTGTTTACTTAATACTTTTTTATACGCTCTTTTGCGTAACATTTGATATAAAACTTTATAACATCTATAGAAATAACATTCCTTGTCTCCATCGTAAAATGTGAAAACAGCCTTCTCATGGTAATTTCAAAAAAATTACATATCATCTGTTTACACTATTAAGTCTTTACTCATCATAAAAAACAAATCCTAAATTTCTCTGCTTGCACTAGAAATGTCTACTAGTTTTGGGAAACCGTGACAAGAAAAAAATTATATAAACTATAGGAAAAATTAAATTAAGTTTGAATTTTTCTTAAAGAATTAAAACTATATGTAGTTTTCATGATAACAATTTTTTGTACCAAGTTTTAAGTTCAAATGGCTTTAATATTATAATATTGGTGGAGAAAGATTAAAAATCCCTTGAATGAGGATTAGTCTTTGAAAACCAGCCAGGATTAACCTGGGTTTTAAACAGTCCAATAAACCACCTGAGAATTACGTGTTACGTTTCAAATTCGACTATAAAATAAAAAAACTGAGCCTGTGCTTATAAATACCCACGTTATTCTTCTACGTTCAACACAAAAACTATCAGTTTATTTTTGCATTATAAAATTAATTTGATACTTACTGAAAAATGCATGTGTTAATATCAATCAAGGATTAAGATTTTAATTTAAACACATTTCAATTACATTTTCTGCCGAGTAATTACGGCCTACGAACACATTCTACAGTAAATGGGCAGCATCTTGCATTAAAATAATACATACAAGTACTTTCATTACGAAGAAAACTTGAAGGCAAAAATGTACTTCGCGACGAGTGACAATATAATCAAAATGTAGAACTCAAAATTACGTGATTAAAAAGATCATGGTATTTTTCCCTACTAAAATTAAGCATATGCACAAACAACACTTTCACGTATACCAGCACTCAACACGCAAAATTTTGACCACACCAGCTAACTGAAAGTTCCCTTGTGCAACTCCAAATCCACTATCCAAGATATAATGCATACAATGTTACAGATATTGCATGATAGTTGCTATTGACATTCTGCCGATAACCAAGCAATCCGTCGAAATTACTACTTCTTGTTCTCATCTTTTGCATTATTTTGAGGATTAAGCTCATCATCATCATAATATTCTTCAAAATATTCTTCATCACTGTCATCCTCCTCATCATAATAATACTCCTCTTCGTCATCATCCTTATCATCCTGGCCATTTTGTATACAAAGTGTGCCATCACTTGACTGCTGACCTCTTAACCTCTCTTGAATACGATCCCTAATTGCTGTTCCCTGTTTTGTAGATCCAAGTGATAACAAAAAAGGCACGATGAAGTAAACAAGTAGTTTACATACATCATAAGAGTTACATAGCTTTTTCACATAAATCAGCTCACCATCTTGTGGCAACCTTCTTCAAACATCTCCAGAAATCCAGCGACCCAACGATCAGCATTTTCTACCCACTCATTCCGATGCATACCAGCAGTCTTTGCAACAATTTGGATCTGGATAATTCAACAAAGACATGCATCTTCACCGTAATTCATTAAAAAAAATAGATAATTTTTAATGATTGATACTATTAAGAACATCTAATGTTGAAAGGAGAATACTTATGTTCACCGGAAAATAAGTATTGCCCTTTTAAGGAAAAAAAACATAGGCTTTCACATTCTCCTTTTTCTTAAGGAAATATCATCATGACCGCCGAATCCAATACATATCTATTTTAAACTTGTCCTCATCTATACTGCAAAATACAAATAAAAGACCTTCGAATTGTTTCCACACTTTCAATTTAATACACCATCTCCCACTCACACATATACAATTTAACAAAAATGAATAATTTGAAAAAGCTGCTTTCTAATAATTCTGCTTTAGAAACTTTGTAGCCTTGACATTTATGGTGCTAATGATATTTTGCATTCAAAAAACAAAATATATTTTTAGAGAAGGACTCAGAGAGAGATGCAAAAATATTAAAATAATATTAGTTCGCTATTTTTCTTTTACCAGACAACTACAGTAAAGCCAGTCCATGGCTTTTTCACTCTAGTCTTTTCCATGCAGACACAAAAAATCTTAATATTGGCCAAATATTAATGAGCTTAGTAAAGTCATGGAAAAAAGTTGAAACAAGTAAATAATTTGGAATTAGATGTATAGCTGAAAATAGAGAATTATGCCAAATCAATCAAGCAACTGACTGATAGTAGCTTCATGGCAATAAAGCACACAACCATAAATTACCAGAGAAAGTGAAGGTTTGACAAAAAAAAAAAAAAGGAGTTGAGAATCGAGAGCAATATTTTCTCACGCATCTCGTCCAGGTCCGTTACGCTAAAATTACAATGATAAGTTAAAGATATATTATATTGAGTTGAGAAAAAATAAATATGAAAATTTAGCATGCTCTCAAAGGCTTGCAGTCCCCCCAGCCCCCCTTCTCTAATTACAATAGCAATCAAACATCAAGAACATCCAGGAAGTGATGAAGCCACAACATCTAATTATAAAAGCATACAGAAGATATGAAAACAAAAGACATATATGAGGAAAGTTATCACAATATGAGGAATGCATTGTTTGAAAAGGTAAATTCAATTAATTTGTTAATAGTAGAACTCCATGTTTCTGAATTAAATCAAACTAAATGGTTGTAAAGAATAATTAAAAAGCATAACCATATGTCAATTTAGATAGGCTTGCTTATTTTTTTGTTGATTTTACTCCTTAATCACATTTTTGTCCTTGACAAAAAACCCAGAAATTCTCAGATGTAATACTTTGACAAAACTGTAAAGATAAACCCTTGAGTCCAAAAACCAGTAGCTTGCATATGTCCAACGTCCCATAGCAGTTTGAATCACAACTGAGAATAACCATGATTTTTCAAAGAACTTTACTTACATCCTCAGCTCCAACTTCAATGATCATTACCTTCCATTACAATATACATGTATGTTTATCCCTACAACCCTTTCATCCCATAATTTAGCCTAACACAAGTATTAATTTGACTTGATTAACTAGTAGAAATACATACCTTTTCACCAACTTTTTCTTGATGTTCTTTCACCTTCTCTTGTAATGTTTTCAACCTTCTATTCACCCTCAGTCGCTTTTCCTATTTAAGACAAAGCAATGACAACCACAAGAGACAAGAGTATTCACCAACGGAACAACGAGAGTAATGTCAGTATAAATACAAACAAATCGCATAAAAAGATATCCTGTTAAATTAAAAAGTGGAATATATCAAAGAGATTTATGCCAAACCATGCCTTCACATAGCTCACGCCAAGCTCATTTCTTGAGTAGCCACGATCCAAGTTCCGCAGCACATATTGGTTATAATCTTTGACAATCCTCATTATAACATCCGACGTGGATATTCCTTCAGTACGTTTTGTTTCCTTAAACCTCCCAACAGATTTAACCTACATACAAAATTCACTGCTTATACTATAAGTGAAAGGGGAAAGTGACGAGGAAGTAAAAGAAGAACATTTTGTCATACATACAAATTCATAAACATCATTGGCAGCACCACTGGCATCAGCATAACTGTGGACAATGGGTTGACAAATGCAAAAGGATTATTACATTATGCATACATATGTAATGAAATGAATAGATACAAGTTACTATATTCACATGTTGAAATATTATTCTTACGGAAGAGAGTCATGAGCCACATAGTCAATGTTGTGCTTGTCAAGAAACTCTTGATTGATAACCCAAGGGGCATCAGGAATAACTTCATCCACCCATCTGCTCTCAAAGTGAATCCAAATAAAAAATGAAACTGAAATTGAAAGAGTTGAAGCAACAAGTTCCCCTGTAAACAAAATATCATACTTGCAGTGGCGCAGGGATTCGTATCGTTCGGCCTCTGTCATAACAGTTTTGCCTTTGTATTTGTGGGTGACTTCATCGTTGCAACACCCAACCAGTAAGTATGTATTCGGAAACCTAAAATTCCAGAGTAAGCAAAAAGTGTCTGTGAATGATGAAACCTTGGAGAAACTCCTCCTTCTTCATTCATTTTATACCAATAATTAATTAATTAATTAATATCAATGGATTGCTATATAATGTATAATTTGTTTGGTTGATCAGATCTCAGAGTGAAAGGATGAAATGAGAGTTAAGGCAAAGATTGAAAGGAAGTAGGAAATGCAAAGGAAGGAAAAGGAGGAAATGATGCATACGATTTCTTGGCTTGCTCGAGGGAGCGAGCGTGGCCAAAGTGGAAGAGATCGTAGATGCCATCGGCGTACACCCGAACGGGGCGGTCTTCCGGAGGCGACGCCGTTTTCAAATTCGACTGCTCGCTGGGATCTGCCATTTGCCTCTGCTCCTCCGCTCCGCCTCTCTTTTCCTTCGATAAATCGTTTTTTCCCGAACGCTGTATGCGCTTATTTCTTTCTCCACTATTTTCCCCCGAAATCCTTTTTCTTTTTTCTTGTTATTAAAGACTGAAGTGTTCGTTTTTTCTTACCAAGAGTAGTAAATGATTGTATTATAAACATTAACCCGTCACCACTCAAACAAAAATTTTAAAATCTTTAAAAATAGAAAAAAAAATTATATATATATATATATATATATATATGTGTGTGTGTGTGTGTGAGATAAGTTTGCTAAATACTAAATTTAATGGTAATTTAAAGGGATAATAATGATAATTAAATAAAACTACATTTACACAGTACAAAACTCTTTAAAATTAAAAAATGGAACCCATTCCGTAGTTGAAGTAAATAATTAAAATTATAAAATAAATAATCGTAATTATGTAAATATGTTAAACTGTAAAATCTAATTTCATATTGTATTATTAATTATTCATATATCTCTATATTCACTTATAGTTAGTTTGAATGGTTAAATCTTAAAATTGCATTTGTTATCATTTTCTTAATAAATCTAACTATGTATTATAATATATATTAAAATAGCCAATTAATTTGAGTACACAAAAGTTGTATATTTATAGTTTATAAACCATAAAAAATATATTTTTCAAAAAATATAATATAATTAAATTTACAAATATTCATATGTTTTATAATATAAATATAAATTTTCCCTTTTGAATAAAAGTATTTTTTAAAAATATTTTTCACTCTCAATTAACAGGTCGCATAACTTATCCTATTTTATGTATTAAGTGTTTTATTTTCATTTTCAAAATTTTATTTCTTTCAAATATATTTTTTAAAACTTTAATCTTAAATTTAATTTAGATTTTTTATCCAAATAATTTGTTGAATCAACACTATTGTATCAAAATATAAATAAAAAATTCAATTAAAATCTTGAAGAAATAAAATATGAATTGTGAAAAATATTAAAAATATACTTTTAATAAATATATTTCTACTATATAACTTTGTATCATAAATTATAAAACACCTGACCTAAGACTTTCACTTCTTCATCATATCATACAGACATTCTCACACCATTTTTTTCATCTGTAAACTTATCTTGTAAATCCTTTTTAATCTGTTTTTTTATAGCCATTTTAAAACCGTAACACTTTTTTAACAGTATTGATAGTTAAAACAAGCTTGTATTATAATATAAATTATTTTTCATAAATCCAACATAAATTTTATATATGTTCAAATATATTTATTTATTATGAATTATAGTCTTCACAAATATTTCAGCTTATATATATGCAATGTATAGGATAAATATTTATTTTTATACAAAATATATATATATATATATATATATTAATGTGTCAATTATATTATAATAAAATTCCATTACAAATATATTATTTTCAGCATATAAAATTATATTTTAAATTTATGTTAATAATCTACATTGTAATTATTTGTATTTTGTTTTAAATATTTATTAAAATTAAATTTAAAACAAAGATACAAATTATAGGTTGAAATAGATAAAAAAAAAACATATAAAGATAAATATATCTATTAAAAAAAAAAGTAGTTTGAGCAAGAAATTATAAACAAAATACTCTTAAACACTTTTTCCTCCTTTGGTGATGTGTTTATTATAAACTATTGGATCTTAAATTTAGGGGCACTTGAGTGATGACGATAAGTGACACTACTACCCTTTTATTTATCTAGAAGTCTCCCTCTCTTTATATTATATTTTTTAGAAATTTATTCCAAGTACTTTAGAGTTTGAGACCGATACTCCAACCACTAAACTACTAGAATTTTCCGATAATAACTTACAAATAAATTATATTTATATACAAATAAATATATATTTGTGTAAATATATAAATATATAAATAAAAATATATTTATATATTTTGATATATTTATATAGTTATATATTTATATGTTGGATGTGAGGGCACACTCGAAAGTGAAAGTGTGTGTCGAGTGGGTTTTCAAAATTTGATGCTAAATTTGTGAGCAGGTATCTTTATATGAATTTGTAATTTAATGACAGAATATAATCTTTATAATTTTATTTATATAATGATATAAAATAAATTTGGGAAACGCGTTATTTGCTCTCAAGCGAAAAATACCAATTTTTGCTCAAGCGAGACTTGAGTGAGTGAATTTCCGTGAGCTTTAATATATTTTCACTCAAGCAAGAATCAATCACATTTTCACCCTCGATCGAAAAATACCAATATAATTTATTTGTAAGTTATTATAAAAAAATTATAGTAGTTTAGTGGTTGGGATATTAACTTTCAACCCTAAAATACTGGGTTCAAATGCTATCAGTGACAATTCATTAATTTAAGAGAATTTTTGGTTGAAAAAAAAATAAAAATACTTTCCAGAAAATATATACAAATAAATATATATTTACATGGATATATATTTATTTGTATATAAATATAATTTATTTGTAAGTTATTATTAGAAAATTCTAGTAGTTTAGTGGTTGGAGTATCAACCTCCAACTCTAAAGTACTGGTTCGAATTCTGCCAATGACAATTTTTAAATTTAAGTGAGTTTTTGGGTGAAAAAAAGACTTTCAACGTCGGTTCATATGAGAGCCGACATAGAAAGTACTTTCTACGTCGGTCAACTAGAGCAGAGCGTAGAATGTGTTTAATATTCAACTTTCAACGTCGGTTCATCTAGGAACCGATGTGGAAAGTACTTTTTATGTCGTCTCAGCTATAACCGACCACGTAAAAAGTATATTTTGTATTAGTGTGATATAACGATATTTTCTTACATTGAATATGTTGTCCTAGAATAAAATAAAATCTGAACATATTTTCCGTTTCCTGGCATCCGGTATGACTTAATTGTATTTTGAGGTATACTTTATGTCGACATTTGTGGACATGGGAATTGACCTTGAGAGTAACTCGTAAAAAGTGTATGAATAAAAAAATAAAGTGTGTTTAAAACATAATTTCTGTAATTCTCTTCTTCATTCATTCATAGCCATCCAGCTATTAGATATAGGTTTCTTATTAATTGTACCATATCCTTCTCTCTCTCTCTATTCCATCCTCGAAATGAACAATGGACGTGGCATAGCTTGGATTTTCCTCTTTCTGCTGCTGCTGCTTCTTCCATGTTTGGTTGTTGGTGGTGGTGGTGATGGTGAGTGTAAATGTAAAAACGATAAGGAGGAAGCTGGACAAAAGGTTGGAGTAAAAGAGAAGGTTTTGGCTAAGAATTACAAAATAGGAGCTCTGGTTTCGATTTTGTTTGCAAGTGCAATAGGTGTTACTCTTCCAATGCTCACAAAAACTTTCCCTGCCTTGCATCCTGAGAAGGAGTTGTTCTTCATCGTGAAAGCCTTTGCGGCTGGGATTATATTGTCCACTGGTTTCATTCATGTGTTGCCCGATGCTTTTGAGAAGTTGACATCTCCGAGTCTCGCTGATCCCTGGGATTTTCCCTTCGCGGGATTTGTGGCAATGTTAGCGGCCATTGGAACGCTCATGGTTGATTCTCTTGCCACTGCATATTTCAAAAAGTCTACCCTAATTAGCAACAACAAGGATCCACCTGTTGACGAAGAAGATCATCATGATCAGCATCAGCAGGTACCTTCCCATGCAACTCATCAAGACCATGCTCATGCTTCCCTTCCTTCTCCTTCAACGGATCTCCTTCGCCATCGTGTTATTTCTCAGGTAACCAATAATTCGATATATTTTGTCTGTCATATCTTTGTCAACATACATGTGGCTTCTCCTACTCTGTCATCCAATTTTTACTTCAATTCCTTATCTTCTTAATTATTATTCTTTGCTTGCCCAATCACCTTCTTGGTTAATTTCGCTTTTTATCATATTTGTTCTTTAACTATTTTTTCTTTGTTCTGCTCCTAATAAGACTTATTTTTTCTCAAAGAATTAAAAGAAAAGGGAAAATAACATATTCAAGCAAAGAAAATTATACTCTAGGGCTGTTTATTTTAAATTCTAGAGAAATTATTTTTTAAAATAAATCATAATTTTCTTATAATTGTGAAAGAGATAAGAAAAAGATGTAGGCTAACTTGTGGTTGAAAGAAATAGAAAATGACAGTGATATTATTAAAAAATAAAATTGTACAGATTAATGATCGTAGTTTTACACCTGACGACGTTCTAGATGTCATATACTTTGTTCCATTATTAGTATTATTATTTTATCTTCTTGGTACACATTTATATTTTCTATCCATATAACTTTGCTTCTGATATTTAACAATTACAGGTGTTGGAGTTGGGGATTGTGGTGCATTCTGTGATAATAGGGATCTCTCTGGGTGTGTCTGAAAGCCCTAAAAGAATAAGGCCTCTCATTGCTGCTTTAACTTTTCACCAATTTTTTGAAGGCATGGGGCTCGGTGGTTGCATCTCGCAGGTATATTGTAGATATCTCTCAATTCATTTTTGGGGCTTTTTATTTATTCTTTTGGTCACAAATATTCATATTCATATTTCTTAACACTCATTCTTTTCTAAAATGTCTTAATAATAGGTTTGTATACTTGAAAAGGTTATCGTAAATTAAAAGTTAAACTGAAAATTATTGAAGCTAGATATAATTTCGATTTCAAAATTCCCGTTGAAAAGTCAATGTTGTAGGACGAGTTAATCGTGCGTGTCTCAGTCTGAACCATGCATGTTCTTCTCAAGTTTTCATTTTCAGAAATCAACTTGGGCAAAGCTTCTCAGCTGCTTAAAAATTGGTTACATATTAAAAGGAGATTTCCATTTTAAATTTTTATACGATTAAAACTATTCAAATTCAAGGTCCATATTTTGTATATTGATGTATAAAAAAGTCTTTATTATCTCTTAACTTTAAAGTACATTATCACTTTCTAAACGAGAATTAAATCGATGTTTTTTAAAATTTAAAATAAAATCCATGGAATGTTTGACAAAAAGAAACAAAACCTGACCTAGTATGTGTTGTATTTTCCCTCTTTCAATACACTCGTTCTCATACATGTGAGAGTAAAAATTCACGTCGATTATAGATTTAACGTGATTAGACGCATAATAATTTAAAAGCATTATCTTTCATTTTTAATGGTTTGAAAGGACACGACATGGTATTGGATGCAAATCGCTTGGCTTGAATAAAAACGTACCAGACCTGAAAAAAAGTTGGGTTGTGGTGTGCATTAGCTAGCGTATAGATATGGTGACACCACTGCCAAAAGATTCTCTTGAATCCGAACATACAACCTTGAAAGCAAATGGAATTTTAATTATTGGAGTCTTCCAAGTTTGAAGTTTCAAAGTAACAAGAGTAGGGTTGTGATCGGAGTCATCACGAGAATTGTGTCGGCAGTTTTTTTGTTTGTGTCGCGTTGTAGCCTCGGATATAATCTGTATCCTAGCTGGAGCCCAAACCTAAGAAATAATTTGTTGTGAGTTAACCTAAGTAATGTATGTTGTTGTTGTTGTTGTTGTTGTTGATGTTCAGGCAAAATTCAAGAGCAAAGCAGTTACAATAATGGCATTGTTTTTTTCATTGACAACACCAGTGGGAATTGCAATTGGTATGATAATCAGTGATTACTACAATGAGAACAGTGGAAAGGCTCTGATTTTGGAAGGTGTTCTTAACGCAGCATCTGCAGGGATCTTAATTTACATGTCACTTGTGGACCTCCTTGCGCCGGATTTAATGCATCCCAGGATCCAAGCAAGTAGTAGGCTTCAGATGGGCGTTCACGCGTCTTTGCTTTTTGGGGCTGCCTGCATGTCAGTTCTAGCCAAATGGGCCTAGACTCCACCACTCTTTCCTTGTTTTTACTTGTATTGACACGAATTATTCTGAGTGGTTTTCGTATGAAATATTTCAGTAGCATGTTGCCCCTGTATTGTGAGCAACTCTGTCTAAAAAATAATTCCATGGGATTTTGTTAGAATTGCAAAATTGGTCAAAAAATATTGGTACCATGTCACTCCTCTTCTTCTTGTATTTTATATTTTATAAGAATGTAACTTTATTCTGATGTGATTTTTTTTTTGGTAAATAAATTGCTTTTGAGATCTGTATTGCCTCTCGTAAATTCCTGAATTTAAGTTGAACCATTTTTAAATAAACAAAAAAAAAATCTTCAAAATATATAGTTATGACTGTCTCGTCGTTAATCATGTTACACTTGCAATTTCACAAAGCTAAAATTGTACAATTATAATTAGTATAATAAAAACAAATAGATATAGAATGTGTATAAAATGTATGCATATTATTTTTTAAACAATATTTTGAATTATATTTATTAATTTATAATTGTAAGACCAAAACGAGTCCTAGATTGACCTCATTGAAATCTCATTATTTATTGTAAATAATCATATACAAATTATCGATATTAAGGTTAAATTAAATTTTAGTAATCTTTAATTTGTATAAGTATTTTTTATTTTTATTTTGAATCAGTTGAACTCTGGATCTGACATGTTCATTTAAGATGCAGTTAAGGAAAATTTTAACTAATTAATATATTAAAAACTAAAAAAATAAACCAAATGTAAAATTGAAAATTTGATCAAAATTATAACCCACCCAATTTGGACAGACCACAATAGTAATGGGCCGAGCCCATGTCAGCGGGTCGAAGCAGAAACCCAATAGAACAAAAAAGCAGAGGAACAGTAAACAGAAAGTTGAAAAATTAGATTTATTTGGGAAAATCATAAAAGGCAAAAGTCGAAGGTGAAGGAGAAGGAGAAGGAGAAGGGGTTGTGATCCGGTCAGCGGAAGGCGCGATCGAATCGAGGGAAATGGTAAAGCCTCTTCCGAATTTTAATTGCGCTATATTTCTGATCTAGCGTACTCATTTATAGTTCAGACATCTGTATCTTGTTCCTACTTTCTAGATTCAGTTCTTAGATTTTGCATCAAAGCACAATTTTAACTGTCCATGTGAATAAGCTAACTCAATCACCTAGGAATAGGTTTTCTTGCAGCAAAATCCATAAATCTGGACTTGGTAATGATTCATGTTTTCCTGTGTAATAGCTAGACAAACGTTCTTTCGTGTTTTGGCACTCAATTATGAAGTTTATTCTTACCGTCTTCTTTATTTATGTACTAGATTGTTGGGATAATAGGACCTCTTTCCCCATATTGATTAGGATGCTCTGATAACTTGTTTTATAATCTGCTCCTTGCACGCGCTTGTTTTATTCTATTTCTAACGCATTCTTTCTTTATGTATTTTCAATTTCAACATGCTTTATCCCTCCTCTTCTTAAATGTAGATTCACTTTGTGTTACTCATTAGTCGTCAAGGGAAGGTCAGGCTCACAAAATGGTATTCTCCTTACTCGCAGAAGGAAAGAAATAAGGTAAGGTAACACCTTATTGCAGTATGTTTGAATAAAAATTTGCAATGTACTTTTGCCAATTCCACCTGGCAAATTGAAGAATGAAGAAATTGTTCTTTTGAGAGTAAAAGTAAAGTACTTTTGAGTTCTCCCAACAGATATACAAACATGCCCTTAGTTATTTTGTTCCTCAAAATTTCCCAAGCTACTCTTTCCCTTTGGTATTTGTTATTTCATGATTGACGAGGTGCAGTTCTTCCACTTATTTTTCTTAGTAATCTTTTTATTGCATGCACAGTGATGGACCTGTGCATGATTGCTCATCGTGTCCCACTTAAGTCATCCTTAATACATGATTTTATATGTAATTTATTTTTACAAGGCTATCCGTGAGCTCAGTGGCGTGGTTCTTACTCGTGCTCCCAAGCTCTGTAATTTTGTAGAATGGCGGGGACATAAAGTTGTTTACAAAAGGTATTGAAACAAGAGTGTATGACCTTTTGTCATATACCACAACTTAGTCCTTCGCAAGCCACTCTTTTGTCTGGCTATGTTCTAACAAATATCTGATGCAGGTATGCTAGTCTTTATTTCTGCATGTGTATTGATGAGGATGACAACGAACTAGAAGTCCTTGAAATCATTCATCATTTTGTGGAGATTCTTGATCGGTATTTTGGCAGTGTGAGTTCTGTTCAAAGCTTTGACTTTTGAAGAGTACTGCTTGATTCATTAATGAAATAATAGTCTAATTATTACTAGGAAGGATATAAGGATTAATGGTTGGTTCACTATTTGCAGGTCTGTGAACTGGACTTGATATTCAATTTCCACAAGGTTTGTCTGCCTATCATGATTTATGCCCAAAACTTGATACAAGTACTACTTTTTAATAGTTAACCTGTTGCCATTATAAACTATTCTGATCCACCTTGAATGGGCATTAATCATTGATCTTATCAACTGTCTCTTCTTCTTGTGGTAAAGTAATTTCTGTTCTGACGATGTTCTTAATTTTTTTTATCATGGAAGGCCTATTATATACTAGATGAACTTCTAATTGCTGGCGAGCTTCAGGAGTCAAGCAAGAAAACTGTTGCCCGGTTAATAGCTGCACAGGTACGCATTGGCCTTTGTCGGTCAAAAATGTTTTAGTTCGCAGTTTCTTCCTTGAGAGTTCTTTCTGATGCAATTTTATATGAAATTGGCTCTCAGGATTCATTGGTAGAAACTGCTAAGGAGGAAGCCAGTTCATTAAGTAATATAATTGCCCAAGCCACGAAGTGAGGGGATTCCATGTTACAGTTGCCATTTTGGGGCATGGTGTTTCGTGTGATTGAAGTTTGGATTGCCCGATTTTATTTCTGTTAAGTTGAATGATCAATTTTCAATCTCCTTGATTCTGCTTTTGTTTTTGGTAGAGTAGCAAAGGACATAAACTAAGCGATAACACTTCTTGATATGAATTCCATTTGCTAAGGTTGACAATTTCAGGATTGTGGTCGTGACCCACCATTCTATTACTGGTAATCACTCTGCTTAGGAATACTTTTGCTTTGTAAAATATATTCGATCGAGTAAACCATTATTCTCTTTTATTGCACGTAGCATTATTCTCTTTCCTATTTAATTATTAAAGCATTTGAAACCATTAGATTATTATCAGTCATGGAATGCTACTACTAGTTTAAGATATTAATTTGGTGTTATGTATTGGTTCTAATTGTAAGAGGCCAAATAACTTTTTATTAATTTTTTTAGGAAAGAAATAAAATAAAAGCACTAAATTTATTTAATTGTGGGATTAACAGGATAATAAGAGGCCCACCTGATTTTGAAACAATTTAGATAATAGAGGGATTAACAGTAGGGATGGCAAAACGGGTCAGCCCGTCCGTTTTGGCCTGTCAAAAGCGGGGTGGGGCGGGTTGGTCTGTTATAGTTATGACAGATTATAAATCTTGGCTCGTCTCAGTCATAATTTAGAAAAAATAATTTATTTATTTATTTTAATAAATTTAATAATAAGATTATTATTTGTTTGTTAATAATTCAAATATATATATATATATTATTTCAATTTAATAATATAAATGAATACATTATTTTAAGAAATTATAATTTAGAACAATAATAAAATTTACATAATAATAAATAATAACAAATATATATATATATATATATATAACGTTAAAACTTATAAAATTTATATTTTTTATATTGAAAAATTCAAATACCTATGTTATTTGATAAAACTTCACATTATTCTTGGTTGAGTAATTCTTACACCTTTAATTCAAGTCATAAGGATGAACAAGGAGAACAAGAGAGAATGTTATATTTCGATAAGAATAATATTTTTGTGAGAGTGAAATTTTTTTAATTTTCTTTTTAAAATTTTTAACTTTATATATTATCTTTATAATTAATTTTATTACAATAAAAAATTATTTTTTTATTAATTAGGCGGGTCGCGGCTGGCCCGCTCTGTCCCACGGGTTGGCCGTCCGGTTAGCGAGCTTGGCGGGCAGGCCAAAGTGGGTTGGTGGGTTACCCACCCGCCTCGTCATATTATGTCATATTATGGTGGACTGGCAGCCCGATCCGTCAGGTCCGTCCCGTTTTGTCATCCATGTAATTAGTTTTCAATCATTTTAATAATTTTTAAGAATTAGATAGCATAAACATAAATACTTCGATGAAATAATTTATGTAACTTCGTATTGAAATGCAACCGAGATTTTTAATTTGATATTTTGTTTGTGATATGAGATTGAACGAATATATATATATATATATATATATATATATATATATATATATATATATATATATATATATATATATATATATATATATATATATATATTAGACTAATATGATTCATATTTTTTACAGAAAATTTTGTATGGTAGTAAGAGGTGTTTTTATTCACAATTTTGAAATACACTTAAATAATATTATTTTTATTTTTAAAATCAAATATTAATGAAATGATATAATATTTTAATATAAAAAATTAAATGTTTTTATGATAAAATATAAATGGAGGTGTACATACATCTTTGTCCTATTATTAAAGATGCTCTTACATTTTCAAGGCCCATTTACATGCTAGGACTTTACCTTACAGTATTTGTTTCACATGATTTATGGAAGGTGATCTGCTTGTTTTATACATTATTATCTTTCTTTGCAGGATTGAGAATTAAGAGCAAATACAGACTTTTTTTTCTTAATTATTCATTCTAAGATAAAATATATTACCGAATAGATTTAAATTATCATTTATTATAAAAAATTATTAACCAATTTTAATGAAAAAAATCCAAATCAAATATTATACACTTTTAATTTATTATATAATATATCTAATTAGACTATAATTGTTTTAAATATTCTTATAATTTAATATTATTTATAACTTATTTTAAAATAAATTATAAAATATTATAAATTTTTTTGTAATTTATATATAATTAATTGATTTTTTATTTGTTTTATCAATGTTGTTAAATAATTGTCATACAAAATGTATCTCAAATCTGATTTATATTTATTTTTTAAAATTTATAATAAATATATTATTGTTAATTTATTTTGTTATTTTATTTTTAATCAATTTCAATTTAATATTTTTTATTTATTTCATTTTATTTTGTACTTTTTTTATCCTTCATTCAAACATGTTTTTTTTCTTTCCAATCCATCTTCCAACTAAAGATAGGACTGCCAGGAGAAGGAGTATGAATAACCCACTGTTTTAGTAACAAATCACTGATTCAATTGGTCTAAAAAAATGGTATTTGAATTTTAATTAAATCAAAATAAATTTGAAAAAGTTAAGACAAAATCAACAAACTAAAGAAAATTGGTTGAGTGATTAGGCTAAACTGTGTTTAATACAAAAAATAGGAATTTTTTTAATATAATTCTTTTATAAAATATATAATATATTTTAATGTTTTTATCTCATATTAATTTTAAATAATAATTATTGTATTATATTTTTTTTATTTTAATAATGATCTATTTTACATTTTTTAATATATTTTAAAATTATAATCTTTATAAAATATAATTATTATTTTTATAAAAAAGTTATTATTAATATATTTATTATATTATAAAAATATTATTTTATTAAATCTAATTTAATATTAACTTCAACTTTATATCTTCCCCAATTCAATAATGATTTAAATAAAATGATTATAATTTTTTTAATTCTGATATATTGATGACTGGATAAAAGAAAATTATAAAACAATTTTAATATATTAATATAATAATGATAAAAGATAAGATAAAAATAATTTAAAATTATTATTATAATAATTAAATGTTTGTGATAAATTGGTCTCAAAATATTTTTTTCCTTTCCTTTTAAAAGAGTGATGAAGGAAAAAATTAAATTAGAACATAAGAACGAAAAGTGCTGTTGAAGTATTTCTCTGTTGAGGTGATATTTGGACTATCCTTAATTCATCAAACATCCACTAGATAATCTAATTTAATAATATAATAATAAATATTAATTATTATTATTATAATATTAAATTTGGAAAGATGTTTACATAGAATTATAATAATATTTTCACAGCATTTTCTTAAACATCCCATCTACAACTACTCTTAATATTATAATAATAATTTATTTATTTTTATAATTATTATATTAATAAACTGAATTATTTTTAGAATTATTTTTTTATAATGATTATGAATATATCAGACCTCTATCAAAATAGGTTTTTCCTTCTCAATAAAGTGCACGTAACCAAATTGACTATGTATGAAACAAATTCACATGGACTAGTAATAGAATCTTGGAAGGCGTGCAGGACAACCAATACTTCTTTTGAAGGGTAAAAGTTGATCTGAAAGCTCATGTCCACGTGTGTCAATATGATAGGGTAGTGTACCATGTCCACGCTCGAACAGTCTACCCTTATCGATTCATTAATTCTACACACAACCTGTGTTCACCTCCAGGACCTCATCACTGAGTCAGATACCAACATGCAGAAAGCTGCACGACTCGTCTTCATCCCTTCTCCGGGAGTGGGTCATCTCGCCTCCACCATTCAGTTCGCCAACCTTCTCATCAACCGCCATGACAGTCTCTGGATCACTGTGTTGGTAACCAAACTACCATCTGACACTACAACTGCTGTTTACACAGATTCCCTTCACTCACAGCGTCTTCAGGTCATCAACCTCCCCGAATCTTCCTCTAACTCCAAACAAACCACAATGAAAGAACTTCTCGACCTGCAAAAGCCACACGTCAAACAAGCTGTCACCAACCTCACTCCCGCCCCACCACTCGCCGCCTTTGTCGTCGACATGTTCTGCACCACCATGATCGATGTGGCCAAAGATTTCCAAGTCCCTTCACTCGTGTTTTACACATCTGGTCTTGCATTCCTTGGTTTGGTTCTTCATCTTCACACCCTCAGGGAAGAGGGAAAGGCGGAGTTCACGGAGTCCAACAGGGAGTTGGTGATCCCGAGTTTCGTGAACCCAATCCCACCGGCGGCTTTGCCTTCTATAGTGGTGAGCAAGGAGTGGGAACCATTCTTCATGGAATATGCGAGGGGCCTGAAGAATGCCGATGGCATTATTGTAAATTCCTTCGAGGAGCTAGAATCCCATGCTGCTCACTCCTTCCTTCACGGGCCTCAACCCATTTATCCAGTGGGGCCCATTCTTAAACCCAAGCCCGAGATCCATGTCAATGACAGTGACATCCTCAGTTGGCTTGACCAGCAACCTCCTTCCTCGGTTGTGTTCCTGTGCTTCGGGAGCATGGGTGCTTTTGGTGAGGATCAGGTGAGGGAGATTGCACATGCTCTTGAGAACAGTGGGGCCCGCTTCCTGTGGTCCCTGCGGAAACCTTCACCCAAGGGTCCTGGTTCAATGAACCCGCCCTCTGACTACGCACCCTCAGATTTGGCTCTAATTCTACCCCCGGGTTTCTTGGATCGGACGGCAGGAATTGGAAAAATCATCGGATGGGCCCCTCAGGCCCAAATTCTGGCCCACCCAGCCACCGCAGGCTTTGTTTCCCACTGCGGTTGGAATTCTACCCTTGAGAGCATATACTTTGGTGTGCCCATTGCCACCTGGCCACTCTTCGCAGAACAGCAGAGCAATGCCTTTTTACTGACGCGTGAGCTGAAGATAGGTGTGGAGATCTCGTTGGAGTACAGGGTGGAGTTGAACACTTTGTTGAGCGCCGAGAAGATAGAAAAAGGAATAAGGAATTTGGTGGAGATTGATGAAGAGATAAGGAAGAGAGTGAAGGAAGTGAGTGAAAAGAGTAGGAAAACTTTGTTGGAAGGTGGATCTTCACACTCTAATTTAGGACGTTTGATTGATTATATAATGAATCAGGTTTAGGGTACAAGTAGATGCCTTCACTATGTTGTTCACTAGATGCATTGCCAAGTTATCCAATAAAATTCCTAGTTATCACCCTCCTAAAGTATAATGAAGCTTGAATGGTAAAGGCAAGGGATGTTCCCATTTCCGTTCAAACTGGTTATGTTCTTTATATCTCAAAATAAGCGTCATGTTCATGTGCAGGATGAAAAAGGTTTCAAGATTTTCTATACTTCCGTTATTCCTTAACAAGGATTCAATACTACCCTTTTTTTACTCATAACATTTTATGTAGGTATTATATATTTGAAAGAAATAATTCTACAAAGGTAATAATAGTTAGAGGGTAAGAAGAAGGCATAAACTTATGTTCACTTTCTCTTTCATTTTCTTGTCCACCAACTTCTATTTTCTATCTACTATCATATGCTGCACATTGTACATGAAAATACTGACTGGTCTTGTTTTGTAAGCCAAGTATGAAAAATATTTCCAATTAAATGCTTTACATATTCCTTCCTATACATACATACCTTTACAGATAAAATATTTATGAACTACAATCAAACTATTAGAGACACCACCAATCTATTCACAGGAATGCCTAGGGATAAGACTTAATTAATAATCACAGTTGCAAGTTTGCCTCAACACTATGTTCTTGATCTTTGGCCACTTATTACCTTTAACACCACTATCCCAAATCTCTTGAAATATATGCATCATCAGCCTCATAGACTTCTTCATGAGATAGCATCTCCACTATCTACAAAAACACTTCACACGGCTCTTAATTACTCGGTTTCAGTTCAATCAAACCGGCCCTGATCAAAATACAGCCAAATACTGCTTTTAAATGCTACATTATGTAAAAAAGGTTGAGTTGAAGAATCATACCTCTATAGAAGAAATAATCACACCATTTCTTGAATCAGGAGTTAAAAGTATGTCACTATTCAGCTGCACAGTCGTACTGTGCATGAATTGAATGTGTTGTTCATCAATGAAAAACTGTTTCAAATGAATGACCTATAACAGCTCTAGTCATGTGCACACTGGATGAACTTATGCAGGTCATGAAACAATCATTGGCTATAATCAAACCTATGACTGCTTTAACAGCGAACCTAACTTAGCTTTCATGAAAACTTCCCACCATATAGCAACCGGCTCCTCATTTGATAAAGTTTGGCATAACTTATTCATTTCAGTCACTAGATTCCAAAATCCTGTTTAAATTTGAACTGTAGCCTGGTTTATAACCAACATCCATCATGTCCCTAGTCAATTTGTCCAACATATAATATATCTCATCGCTCAGAGGATGCTTCTCATCTCTAGCTACAAAGTAGTTCACACACCCACCAATTTCAATCCAACTACATCCCATTTCCTTTTGCAAACCTTTTTCCTTCATCTGATTTCTCACTCTATCAACATTTTCCCATTCTCCTTCCTCTGCATAAATGTTTGATAGCAGAACATGATATCCAGCAATCTTTTTTTTCATTCCCATATTAAGCAACTTTTCAGAAATAATTTTTCCCAATTCAAAGTACCCATGATTTTTACAGGCCCCAAGTATAGATCCCCAGATTTCTACTGCATCACCGTCTTCACCCAATCTCTCAACAAACTCATAAGCTTCGACCACCCTCCCAACCCTCCCTAACATATCTGCAACACAGCAATAATGTTCTGTTGAGGGCTTGATTTTATGTACTTTGTCCATCGACTCAAATATGTGAAGACCTTCTTCAACCAAACCACTGTAACTGCAAGCAGACAAGATGGCAATGAAAGTAACTGCATCGGGCTTAATCCGACATCTCAGCATGGTATCATACAAGGCAAGGGCTCTCTTACCCATTCCATGCTGACCATAGCTCATTATCATTGTGGTGTATGTGACAGAATTCTTCTCCGGTGTTCTGATAAAAGCATTTTCAGCATAACTGATGGCACCAGATTTTGAGTAAGCGTCCACTAAAGCAGTTCCCACGTAAACATTTTCGTCCAACAACTGCCGCATGGAGAGTCCATGAAGTTGCCTAGCAAAGGCTATGCTTCCCACGGAACTACAAGCTGGGAGAATCGAGGCTATTGTCACTGCATTAGGCATTACCTTGTGTACCAATGCCTCTTTAAGGATGAGAAGGGCTTTGTCACTGAGCCCATTCTGGGTATAACCAGCAATCATAGCGTTCCATGTGGCCAGATCTCTATCACTTGGGTCGTTCTGATCAAACAACAACTCGGAAGTCCTAATCAAGCCAGATTTAGCATACATATCAATCAGATAACTCTCCATACCCTCAAACTGTATCCCATGGCGAATTAGATATGCATGTGTTTGCCTTCCAATGTAGGAGTCCCTCATGTTAGAGGCCGCAGAGAGTAATGCTGTCACAGTGACAGAATCGATGATAAACCTCTGCTTCTGCATCTCACAGACAAGCATCAGTGCTTCCTCATCCAAACCATTTTGCACAAAGGAAGAAATTATCGTATTCCACGAAACAGCATCCCTTTCTGACATCGTTTCAAAAATCTTAAAGGAAGTATCCACGGAACTGCATCTGGAGTACATAACAATGATTGCATTGACGACCATAACGGGAGTAACTGCCAAACTTTTTAGAACAAATGCTTGTATCTGCTGGGCCAATTTTATCTGCTGCAGCTGGGAAACAGCAGAGATAACCGACAGGAAAGTGACGTCATCGCACACAGCCTCCTCTGACTCCAAGGCTCGAACGAACACATCGATCCCTTGAAGGGGACAGTTATTTTGAACATAACCGCCAATCATGGTGTTCCAGATCTCGGTATTTTTGTTGGAACAATGGTCGAAAACCATTCTGGCGTACTCCAAGCATCCAAGGTCAGCAAACATAAGAATTGCGGAGCTAACAGCAAAGACGTGATTGACATAGTCAGCACCGTATTTAAGAAGCAGGCCATAAAACATAAGAGCGGTTGTACGATGGGGGACAGCGGGGAAGACATTGACGAAAGTAATGGGGGTTGGCGTGAGAGAGGCTTTGGTGAGGTTGGCGAAGGCGCGAAGTGCGTGGAGGTGTCTGTGGGTCTTGACGAACCAGGAAATCAAGGTGTTCCAAGCGATGACGTTTCGTTTGCGCATAACGGCGAACAGTTTGAGGACGTAGTCGTGTTGGGGTTGGGTGGAGAAAGGGGACAAGCAAGCGCAGTACATGTTCAAGAGGGAGTTGTGGACGATTCGAGAGTTGGATTGGGAGCGAATGAAATGGGAATGAAGGGCCTTACCGGCCATGAGGTTTTGGGTAAGGGCGCAGGCCTTGAGGGTGGAAGAGAAGGTGTACCCATCGGAAGGGGTGTCCGGGTTCGACTTCATTTCAGCGTACAACTGGAGCGCTTCCAATGGCATGTTGTTGCAGATGAAGCCGATGATGACGGTGTTCCACACGGCGGTGGAGGCGCGTGGAAGACTGTCAAGAAGATGGCGAGCCAGGTGAGGGTGGCCCTGTTGGCATAGTTTGCTTAGGCGAGTGCGAATGGTGACGCCGCGGCTTGAGTTTCGGGCCTCCACGGGATCGTTGACGGGAACGGGAACCGGAACAACGGGAGAAGCCATTACCCTCATCCCACACACACAGAGAGACAAACACTGTCTATCCCATTCTCATCTTATTGCTATAACTGTTTTCTTTCCTTCTATTTTCACACTCACATTCTTACCTCTTCACTCCCCCTCCTACTAAAAATATCTACCTTCTATCCATAACATTACAAAGTTTTGGATAAAAGTCAAATCTTCATCCTGTATAAGATTTGATGATCAATTTTGCATTAAATTATATTTTTCAAAACTCAATACCACATTTAAGTAGTGAAGTTTTGTGTTTCTTTTTATATATTTAAAAAATATATTAAAATTTTCACTTTTTTCAAAGAATAACCCACAACCAATTCATATATTTAGAGACATTTTTTTGCTAATAAAGTAAAATAAATTAGAGATGCTGCAAATAATGAATTCATTTGAAATGTTCACACATTACACACCCATAAATTTAAAATAAATAAAATACCATAATATTTATAAATATCAAACACAGCGTACAATAAAAAAATAACAATTGAATTTAAAATTATTTGTTATTGAGTGAAAAAGAAAAACTATTTGTATTCCATGGGTCCATCCTCCTAGGATGAGAAGATGCTGGGCATCCCTTCCTTCTGGAATATACTACCAACTAAGAAGGAGAGTGAGAATGGAAGTGGAGGAATAATAAAGAAAAGAAGGCATATTATTGCACATCTCCGTTGCATTGAGAATCGGAATTGTCTGAATCCAGAAGATGGAGGAGATGCAACAACTCCTCAGCATGGGCTTCCCCGATGAGTTAGCCGCCCAAGCCTTGGCCGCCACCGGTGGTAAATCCACGGTCAAAGCCACCGAATGGATTCTCACTCACAAATCCAACGCCGCCAATCCTTCCACTTTCTCGTCCACATTCCAGCCCAAGCTCGATCGTTTCTTCCATTCCTCCCAATCGCCCACACCTCCGCAATCGCAATCACAAGAAGAAGACCAACATTCCAAACGCCCCAAGATTTCTAATCATTCCGCAGAACATCCACCACCACAACAAAACTGGCCTACTTTCTTCTTCAAGACCGCAGACAAGAAACACGCCAACACTCACATTCACCAACCCTTGTACGAGCGCTTGCGTCCCAGAACCCTCGACGACGTCGTAGGTCAGGACCATCTCCTGGCCCCCAACTCCCTTCTTCGCTCTGCAATCCAACGCAACCGCCTCCCCTCCACCCTCTTGTGGGGTCCACCTGGTACTGGTAAGACCACTATAGCAAAAGCCATTGTTAAATCCTCAACCTCGACGTGTTACCGCTTTGTCTCCTTATCTGCCGTCACTAGCGGCGTTAAAGACGTCAGGGACGCCGTTGACGAGGCCAGAAAACTCAGACTTAAATCCAACCAAACCACCGTTCTCTTCGTTGACGAGGTTCACAGGTTCAACAAGTCCCAACAGGACTCTTTCTTACCCGTCATTGAAGATGGCAGCATTGTCTTCGTAGGGGCCACCACTGAGAACCCTTCTTTCCATTTGATCACACCTCTCTTGTCTCGCTGCCGTGTCCTCACACTTAACCCTCTCCAACCCCACCACCTTGCCTTGCTTCTAAACCGCGCTGTCAATGATACTGACAAAGGGTTGATGCAAAGCGTGGGGGTTCCAGTTGATGTTAGCGAAGATGTTGTTGATTTTATAAGCAACAATTGTGATGGGGATGCTCGGGTGGCCCTGAATGCCCTGGAGATTGCAGCTGTTACTGCAGCAGCGAGGCTACAACATGGTAAACAAAAGGAACAAGAGGGGATGGAAATGGATCTTCACACAAACGAGGAATACAAGGTTGTTGCTGCTGCTGTTGTTAGTGTTGATGATGCAAAGGAGGCACTTCAGTGCAAGCATCTTGCTTACGATAAAGCTGGGGAAGAGCACTATAACCTAATCAGTGCGTTGCACAAGTCTATGAGGGGAAGCGATGCGGATGCAGCTATTTATTGGTTGGCAAGAATGTTAGAGGGGGGTGAAGAGCCTCTTTACATTGCCCGCAGACTCATAAGGTTCGCCAGTGAGGATGTTGGTTTAGCTGATCCATCAGCTCTTAATCAGGCCGTTTCTTGCTACCAAGCTTGCCACTTCCTGGGAATGCCCGAATGCGATGTAATTCTCGCACAGTGTGTTGCTTACTTGGCCTTAGCACCTAAATCTGTTGCAGTTTATCGAGCTATAGGAGCTGCTCAGAAGGCAGTGAGGAAATCCGCTGGACAGAATGAGGGGGTGCCCCTCCATTTGAGGAATGCTCCAACCAAATTAATGAAGGAAATTGGGTATGGGAAGGGATACATCTACCCTCCGGACAACCCCTCCTCCACACAGACTTACTTGCCACCATCACTTCAAGGCCACAAGTTCCTCGATTGGTCTGCTGGCAATCCTTCTGATTGATAAGCACATTAAATCAATATCAGGAGTTATGTGTCATTTTCTGGCTTTGGTTTTGGGGGGTAGCAGGGGGAGTAGCGCAGAAGGATGCATAAGGCATATGATATTCGCCTTCATGTATATTTTTCACCATTGTTTAAAAATACATCAACGTTGAAGGGGGGTGGGGGGTGCTAAATGCTATTGCATCGCATGATGTAAATTTGGACACAATTAAATCTTATTTTGATGAATTTTATTTGAATTTATTTTATCATTCACCATTGCAATACCAATCACTATAGGGTGAGTTCGTTAAAAGTAAACGCATCCTGATATTTTTTTAGTGCTTATTTAAATGCAATTACACAGAATTTTCAGCAAAACCATTATCCCCTTAAACATAATTACTACTAAATTACTAGTGTAGGGTCTTGTGGAATAAAGGTTGAAAGGGGTACACTACAGAAGCAGCCTAGACATTGTAATTTTCTGCATTTCACGCTTTACACGGATGACTCTAGCGAAACACATGATTTACAATCCACCTACTGCATGCTAATAGTTGTGACTCATCATAATAAGCAATTGATATACACCGAAAAAGGAAATAAACTCTTATTATTCAAAAGCTAAGATTGGGGTCGACTGATGAATTAGATCCATTCTTTGGGGTTAATGCACGCGTCCAAGAGTTTCCATTCTTCGCTTCCTTCTTCTGGTTTCTGTAAACAAAATGCCATCACCGTTTCAGCAACGGTTTCATAAATGGAAAATTAGAGGTATCCAAAATCCAACTTGTTTAAAATAAAAAAGATTCCAAAATCATACATGATCATATTCCCACCGAGCAGTAAGTGGGAGAGAAACAAGAATACTCTCTATTCTGCCTCCAGTTTTCAGTCCAAATGTTGTACCCCTATCATATACCTGTGGCGGAAAAATATTAAATAACACATTTAAACCTGTTCGGAAAAGAGAGTAGAACAACACACTTTAGTCTATAATCGGGTTAAAAGGTTTACCAAGTTGAATTCAACATATCGTCCCCTTCGCAATTGTTGCCATGCTTTCTGATGTTCCGTGAAGGGCAAATCCTTCCTTTTCTCTATGATAGGTAAATAAGCAGGAATAACAGAATTTGCACATTCTGCAAGAAACCATTGTTTAAGCAGCATGAGATAGTGACAGTTAGACTTTTTTCCAGCATGAAACATCAAACTTATAATGCAAGCAATTACCAGTAGCAAAGGAAAGGAGCATCTCCTGATCATAGTCGTTCAGATCATCAAAAAATATCCCTCCAAGACCTCTTCTTTCACCTCGATGCTGAATGTAGAAATAAAAGGAAAATAAGGGAGACCAAACCAACAACAACATATGCTCATGCACTCAAGTTCAATTCAAAATATACTTATAATGAATTCACTCTAGCCCTTTATAAATATTGCAGATCACATCCATGGAACATTTAGTTACACACTTATATTCTATTTCTCAACTGGTGCCCTCCAATATCGGACCACTGTGTGTGAAAAACTGACAAACCAGAGACTGAAAACAAAGAAATACTTTTAAACTTACGACTACATCTTCCTAGTAACATGAAGAAAGTATCAAATGTTTTTTCAACGTTAGATATTTAAGACAAAGAAAGTAGATTAGGATAAGTTGTCCTATTGTTTGGTAATTCAATTGGATGGGATAAGCTTACCCTTTCATGTACATCTTCTCGGAAGTTTATCCTAAGGAAGGAAATAGGTATGAACAGATAGAATAGGATAGATCCAATTTTACCCTCAATTTAAATTACACAACTCATTTGCTTCACGAACACTACCACTACAATTGCTGCTCTCACTAGCAGCACTATTATCATTGCTCCCACCACCATTATTATTGCTATCATCTATGCCTGACAGTAATATTCACTGCCATTACCACCACTATACCGCCATCACCAATTTTCTTACCACAGCTACAGTAACCAACACCTAACACCATTGTTGCCGCTGCTGCCACAATTGCCACTTCTGCAATTAGTAGCCACTGTTACAACATATATTGCCACCAATGCCGTCATTCCCACAACTACCACTACTTTTCACAATAGTAAATTTGTCCTTTACATACAATTTATATATTTATATAGTTAACTACTAGTAAGCACCAAACAGAAGACAAGATAAGAACTTAATTTGCTTATATCCTTTCCCTAGACTCAATATTAAACAAGCCCTAAATGCATATACTTTTCAGTAATTTTTTTTCAATAAAGGTATTAGGAAGAATAGTAAGAGGATATGACAGAGTATAAACAGATAATGAGAACAGATTTGTCCACTCAAGATTGTCAATGAGGTCATATTTTAACCCATATGCCTTCATTTTCACATCTTAAAGGTTTACTAATCCAATGAACTTGTCACAATGCATACAAAAATTCAGTATCTCTCAGAAATAGCCCATTCTTCGTGATCATTGTTTTGCCACTTGCTGTACTTTTCACACAATTACCCCATGCATAAAATCTCCACAAACTATCCTAAAGCCACTTCATTTATATTCATGGCTTCTTGATACCCCTGCATCACATATCTTTTTCCAATTTCTATCATTTCATTCTCAACAAAAGTCATTGCTGTTACGAATTTACCATCATTGGTTTCTTGTTTATTAATTATTATACCCTCCAATTCGTCATATATTACATTCATGAAAATTAACTACAAAAGTTCATGTCTAATCTTTATTCAAAGTTCGTCAACTGAGGTTTGTGAACTGAACACTGAATGCCTAATAGATGCTCATAATTGTTAAGCTTTACTTTTATGAAACAGGTCCAAAGGCTACTGAGAAATACAGTAATTTAAAGCTTCGCTATGGGAAAAAGGGTGAAGAAGTATACCTTGATATAAAAGTAATCATCACACCATTTCTTGAATCGGGGGTAAAAAGTAGGATCGAACTTGTCACAAGCACGTTTTTGAACCTACACAAAGAGAATGATTGAAGTACATTTAGCAAAACACTTTCTGTAGAATGCATCCTATAAAATATCATAAAGATAAAATTAAAATTGAAAATCACTTGTAATGATCAACTACAGCTTAATGTTTCCCAAACAAACATTTTTCAAAACAAAATCAACAATGCATCAAATTTATATTTTCTTATTCCATTTTTGGAGTTTAATCCATGTAAGGTACAAAGTTTGGTCGACTTTAAGCGTACCTGAATGAAGAGCCCTTATGCATTTGCAGAAACCTTTTTTATGGAAACATAAAGATAAACTAATTTTGTGTATAACATTTCAATGCTTGACATTTAAAAAGAACCCAGCTCCATAAATTAATTTCATGAAAACCTAACTAAACCTACAAAAATATATTAAAAGCACTCACAAAAAAGGCCAAAAACATCAATGCATGGTGCCATTTTAAAACAAAGGAAACTGATTTTTTTTTTTTCATCTTTACCAAGAAAAACACCATTTTATTCTTGTAGATTTTAAATCATAAAAATAATATAAACTGATATTTGCGTTAAGCACTTACTGTGTGAAAGTGTTTAACATCCTCTTCAAAAATGTAAGCTGGTGTCAGGTCAGTTCCCCCACCAAACCACCATTGTCTAGGTGCTCCAGGAGCATCTGCAAAAAGCAACGGCATGACTATCAATAATAGTAGCGCACTCAATAAAGGCTTCGATTCAACAACTTTATGTTCTTACGGTAACACCCTTTGTTTTCATATTGATTAGAAAATAATAGCTGGCCTAAGATTTTGAGATTAAAATAAATAGTTGTGATTTAATATAAACAACTGATAACAATTTGTTTTTAAATCTCCAATATGGATCTCAGGTAACCGAGATTGGGAAATACTGACCAGATAGCTAGGTATTAGATCAGATTAAGAGTATCTGCTATGAAGGATTAAAAGATTAAACAGTTCGAAGTACACAAAAATAAAAAGTCCAAGGTCCAAACAAAATTAAGGAAAAAGACAATCATGAAAGAAGTGGTATAATGAATCACATCACATTTAGGAGCATTGGTTTCAAAATAGCAATAATTGATACAAAGAGCATCTTGGAAAGAGTAAAGCGGAATGTAATTTACCTTTAGGAGCATCGGTTTCAAAATATCGATAATTGAAATGTAACGTAGGGGCAAACGGGTTCTTTGGGTGTAAAACCTGAACAGAAAGACAATGAGGGAAGATTAATTACTCCAAAAAAAAAATTAGAAACAAAATTGAGTTAAGACGGCAAAAAGAGACATGAAAACTTACGGAGCTGATTCCAGCAGCGAAGAACGGCACAGGACCAGGTTTTTGATCGGTAGGAGCACCCTTGGCAGCACGATAAGCATCAGCTGGCATAACACCATAAACGACAGAGACATTAACGCCAGCCTTCTCCCAAACGGCGCCATCTTGAAGAACCCTGCTGATGCCACCGCCGCCACCGGGCCTGGACCAAACGTCCTCCTTGAACTGGGCCCCACCATCAGCGGCCTCGAGGGCACTGCACACATTGTCCTGTGCCTCCCTAATCATCTTTTCGAACCGGGCCCGCACGGAGGACGAAGAATGGGCCTCGTCCACTCCTCTGAGAAACGTTTCGGGACGCTCCGCCTCCGGCGTCTCTTTCTCTATCGACACGGTGGCTCTCACTACGGATTTTCTCAAACTTGCGGTCTCGATTCGAGGCTTCCAAGTCCGTTTAGTGAGCAATATCGCAGTCGGAGTGATGGAAGAAGTAGAAGCGGAGGTTGAGCGAAAGGGGAACGCGCAGGAGGGAGCTGAGACAATGCTCGAACAAGGCATTATGGCTCCGATTCGATTTTCAGACAAAAGAAAACACTCCAATTTGATTTGACGAGAAGAAAATACAGACAGAGAAGAGATAATGAAAGAAAAAAATACGGAGAGAGTTCTGAAATTCGCTGATGATAAGGTCTTCCTTTCTCAACCCAAGGTTTTGGAATAACAGCAACTTCACAATTTTTAATCTGCTTTGAAATCATGTAATAATTTTTTTCATTTTAATTTTCCCATTTGATGTTCTTTGCTCACTACAAAAACCAGCAAAGTATTTTATTTTTAATGTATTTTAATAATAATAAAAAAACATAATAGGTTGTAAATTATATAAGACAATTTTTTATTTTAAATAAAAAGGTAGTGGCACCGTGTTTGCAACGGAATTTCTAGCAAATGCAAATGGGTTTCGTTACTTACGCCCACAGATAGCATGAAAAAAACCTTTTGACATTGCTTTGGTTTTGGACTCTGACTTCTTCATTTGTTTTCTGTACACGGCTACACTAAAACACTAACATTATCTACCTTTTATTTACCTCCAAAGGTTAGTTAGTTGGGGTAGAAGAACAATGCTATGAGAAAATTCCCATTTTCCAAATTTCGAATAGTAATTACCTCATAACTATCTCTTCATTAAATTAACGATGCACTTTTTCTTCTTACACAATCTAAATATTTTATAACTATAATATTACATTATTTGATATTTTAAAAAACATTTCATTATTAACATAATGTTAATTAGAATTTACTATTTTCATATTATTAGAGATCCAATTAAATATATATGACACAATTTTCTTATGTTTATATATAATAAAAATAAATTAGTTTTCTTACTTGCTGTAAAATAAAGTTAGTTGTAGTTTTTTTTTTAATAATGATTCATTTATATTAATATCATGATTAAAATATATCAGTAAAGCAAATGTTTTTTGTAAGGACTAAAAAAAGTTTACACACATTTTGACATGTATTTTAAAAGGGTTTTAAAATATGAAAAAAAATAATAATAACACTACGTATTTAAAAAGACGTGCACCTTGAAGTAAATGTCATAAAAATGTATACACTAAACAACTATAAGTTTATTATTATTTTTTGTTTTGAAAGACATTAAATTTTAAAAGAAAAACATTTTTTCCAAATATATTTAAACCGAATAATTATGTTTATACAGATTCTGTCATTTTCAGTGTGTTTCTTTTAATAATTTTTTTTTAAAAATAATATTTACTTTTTAGAAATTTTAAATTTTGTTTGAACATTATTTTGTTAAAATAGTTTTTAAACTTTAGTTTTAGTTTTAAAATTTTCAAATTAAGATCAAAATTAATTATTTTATTTCATTTTATTTTTATTTGATAATATTTATGTCTTTGTTGAAATTATTTGTCATTATTATTTTAATTTTATTAAAATATTTTTTAGTTGGGTGTATTTTTTGTGGTTTTTAATGTCATATACTTTTTAATTATAAAATTAAACATTATTTATTTATATTTAAAAATGCTTCAAACTTAAAACTGTCTTAAAAACAAAATTAAACCATTTTTGCCAATAAAGAGTTTATCTTCCTACTCTTCCGTTTTGTATTAAACGTTGTATCTTGGTATAAAAATTTCCTTAAACCTTGCAACTTGCAAGTGTGTTGTTTGCTAGAGAATAATTGAAAAATATAGGTTTGAAAAACAATTGAGAAAAAAAAAGTTTAGTACAAGTAATAAGTTAAAAAAAAAACAAAATAAAAACATATTTGGTATAATTTAACGAGTTATATTTTGTTAAAGAACAATTAAAAAAAATGTTTGCCTAAATTTAGTAAGGACTTATAAAATAATACTCGTATATTAAATTAATATAATATTTTTATATACCAAAATTTTTAATATAATATTAGCGAAAAAAAAAACTAATATACAATCACTTTGTATTTTGCATCTATACGCTTTAATTTAAAAAATATTGTTTTCAGGTAATCATATTAAACTATATCTAAAATTTACAAAAACTTTATAAAAAACGCAATACAATACTTTTTATGAAATTGATAACATGTAAAATTGAAAGAAAACAAAAAAGAGACATTACTTTCTAGTGACAATATTATGGATGGACACATTAATGATAATTATTTACATAATTAATGAACAATGTTAACTTAAAAAACAATTTAATAGTATTTACTTGAAACTATTTTTAAATTAACTTAAAATACATATTATTAATTTATTCACACTATTCTTTCAGTTATTCTAATTAAGAGGAGATTTTTTTTTCTTTTTCTTCTCTTTTTATTCATCTATAACACATTTGCTTCTTCTTCTTCTTTTTTTCCTTCACGGTGAAAATATAAATGCGTTGTTTTAGTCCAAAAACATTTTCTACCTGTAATTTTCTTTTTAATGTAACAGAAATATTATATAATAGGATTTTTTTTTTAAATTATCAGAAGAAAAGTTCGGAAAAGATAAATGAAACATTAAAAATTCAAAAGAATCCCAAGTTCTAGGTTTTCTCTTTCGCCCACCGCCACGCCACCCCTCACTCTCAGATTCAAACGTTTCCGAGGTGAGGCTGAGGCTGAGCCACCTCTCTCTCTCCTCTCTCTCTATGGTTTCTGTCTGGCAGATACGCATTAGTTTGCCAATTTGATTTTAATATCTCTCTCCATTGGTGTTGGATTTTGGTTCGAGGGGCAGATTCCAATTCCATATCTATTACTCTTCCCTTTCCTGCCACGCCACCTTCTCTGTTTTCGCTAACAATTTTTATATTCCTTTATGTAGAATGGGAGCCGGGCGTGAAGTCTCTATCTCACTTGATGGAGTGAGGGACAAGAACCTTATGCAGCTTAAAAAGCTCAATCTTGCTCTTTTCCCTGTTCGTTACAATGACAAGTACTATGCCGATGCTCTCGCTTCAGGCGAATTCACCAAACTAGGTTTTTTTTTTCTCTGTTTCTTTCTCACTTCCATGTTACCTCATCCTGCATTTTTCTCATTATTCGTTTTTGCTCTTTATTTAACAATCTTACTCTCGGCAGCTCTTGCATATTTCTTAATTTATTTTACTCCTCACCTCTGTATTTCTGAACAAGCTACTCCAGTGGGTTTATACTGACCGTATTAGCCTTGGCTTCCTTCTGGGGGACCCATTTGCATAAATAAATGAATAATTAAACATTGATTTGGTTGCCAAATCTACTTTATCGATTTTTCCTTTTATTTGATACCGAAGGATGAATATGAAATGATTATATATTGGTTTGTGTATTCCTTTTGAGGTTTTCTTAAGCTATCGCGCTTGAGTTCCTGCTCACTTTAGCAGTTCAGCTTCCTTCACATGTTAAAGCTAAATATTCTAATTGCACTGTAGGATAGGTGTTATAATACATTACTAATCATTTCTTTATTTGAATATTTTTTTTAATCTGGGTGTTGCAATTGACCATTGCCTACAATTACTAATCTTTGGGCAATGATTTTTAATATCCTAAAAATAATCCATCTATTAACTTAACCTCCCATGGCCTCAAGTCATTCATGGCAAACTTTTTATATATATATATATATATATATATATATATATATATATATATATATATATATATATTTGTTTAATTCAATTCACTTGTTTTAAATTTTAACCGTACTGTAATGATGCTTTTTAATCAATGTAGCTGACCTCATCTAGTAAGATAGGTGTTTGTAGTTGTTACTTTTTAAATTGTTTCGAGTTTATTGTACAATCCAGACTTCCTGTTTCCTATCTTGTGCAATTTTCTTCATGCCTTGATAACTTTGTTGATTAAAAAAATGTCCTAATAACAGGTAAATAAAACTCCTTTTCAAGAGTTTTGACTAGAACATATGAACATATAGGATCTCTTGGTTTTTCTTTTTTCCCTATTGCAAGTTAGATCAAAGGCTTGCTTTCGCATTCCCTTGTGTACTCTACGCTCACTCAATTAACCCTACTCTCATTCTCTAATCTATCTCTTGTCTCTCTTGTTACTGTGTTTTTGCCTCAATTGACCATCATCTTTGTTCTACATCCAGCACCATCATCTCTGTTTCTGCCTTTAAAGCTTTTGCCTTCAAGGTTCTAGCTTTGTGCCTTACTTCCTTCAATCTCTGTTTTAGATTGCAATTAAGGATTGCAATTAGGTTGTTTTTGTAATCTGTCATTTTCTTTGCATACATATCTCTGTCAGTATAATTTTTCATTTTTTAGTAGGATCTTATGATTCGTGTTATGACCATAGCATATATGATCTTCTACTCCCTTCCTGATATTAGCTAGGATCTTCTTTTTGACAACATTGGATATGCTGACGGTTTGGAGAGCCCTTTGAAAATTGTTTTTTCCTTTTCTTTTTCTGCTTTATTTAATACCATGTGTGATCCCTCTTTTCTGTTGATATATTTATCCTCACCCCAAAGAAAATGGGCGGAGTCATCTTTATTGGAATACGATGCAAGGTGTCTCCAATACTGATAATAATATTTTACATTTGTGTTCTTCTGAGTCTGAAAGCTTTTGGACTTAGAGTTAGTATTAAAGCATAAAGGATTTCCTTCATTTAACCAGATTGTTTGATATCTCTATTCTTTCAGTGTTGCGTCATGATATGGGTGATATACCCAGAGAAGGGATGGGTATAAAAGGGACCTATAGAATGTGTCTATCACTTGCGCTAAGATTGATTACTTTGCCTTTGTCTTTCAGCATACTATAGTGATATTTGTGTTGGAGCAATTGCGTGCCGGCTGGAGAAGAAGGAAGGAGGGGGGCAAGTTCGGGTTTACATAATGACATTAGGTGTTTTAGCACCTTACCGTGGACTTGGTATTGGTAAGAAAGAAACTGAATCTCTTTCCATGTTGTTTGAAACTTTAATTTATCATTTTGTTAAGGACTTGATTCTTGTCTCAGTCCCACAAGTACAGATTTATTGTTTGTCATAAGGTGCAAGCTTCATATTGCTAACATTTTAATTTACACCTAGCAACAGTCATAGTTTCAAAATTCATCACTTCCTTTTAAGGTTGTTATGTACGTTCTTTTATAAACTATGCAAGTTTTGTGATGTGAATCTGGGGGTTTATGCAGGAACAAAGCTGTTGAATCATGTTCTTGATCTTTGCTCCAAGCAAAACATTTCTGAGGTGTACTTGCATGTGCAGACAAACAATGAAGATGCTATAAACTTCTATAAGAAATTTGGGTTTGAAATTACAGAAACAATCCAGAACTATTATACAAACATTACACCGCCAGACTGCTATGTTCTCACAAGGTATACGGTTCCAAGCACAACGAAGAAATAACATTTCGGTCGGATATTGAGGGGAAGTGATAAGATATTGTTGCATTGTTTTATGGGTTTTGCCATGGATGTATTACACTAAAGTTTTTCATGTCCAATGCTAGATTTTAAACAGTAAAGTTAGCTCAAAAAAAGAAGCACTTGGAGATCTCTTGCTAAGGTACAATCTATGCTATTTACCCGTTTTCTGTCATCATCCCCAAGTCTGGTCATTTTCGTCAAAATACTATTAAATTACAAATCGGTACAAGGATTTGTAGAAACGATTATCTAAATTGGAGGCGCATAGAATTATCTAAAATAAACAAATTAAATTTATACTATATGTTGCAACTTGTAATTTAAAACAAAATGGAGCTTTGCGGCCTGAGTTGAATTTCGTTATCAAAATATCAATTCTTTCTAGGCTATGCAATTGCTTAGAAATGAATAGCTTTGTATTAAGTGAGAAGTCAGAATCGAATTATTATATTTCATTGTTATATTTTTATGCAGAAAGAGTTGTATCTGATTGAAAGTTATAGTTTTTTTTTTTTTAGTGGTAAGTATTTTCCCCCTCAACAATTGTTCTATTGGAAATTATTCTTGATTGTGACTTGGTTAGCTTATGTAATGGGGATAATTGCCGAGAGAAAAATTATTGTAGATTATATCAATTGTTACGTGGCAGATGTTATATTATGTAACTTAAAAAAAATTAAATAGATTATATTATTTAATTATTTTTAAATATATATTTAATAATTTAATGTTTCAAAAGTACTGACTCATGAAATGTAAATACTTGTGAGTAAACTTAACAAAAATTGGAAATATTGTCCTTTATAGTTAAATTTATATGTTTTCTAGTTTTAGCTATTTTATTAATATATTTTTATAATGTTTGATTGATTAAAATTAAGTCTTTTATGAAAAAAAAACATTCAATGAATAATAGAAGTGTAATGTAAGTTTATATGTCGTTTTTCTTATATATTTTAAAAATGTAATATTTAAAGCAAACAAAAAATGCATTCGAAGTGCTAATTTAGAGTTAATTTTTAAATAGCTAAACTCTTTTCTATTAAATTATATAAATTAATGTAAGTTTACGTTTTCGAAGTGCATTATATTTTCACAATTTATTGAACGTAATTGAGCAAGAAACTAATCTATGACAAGTATGAAATCATGAAATCCAAATGCGAATAATTAGAATTAAGGGAATCAAAATAGATTTTAAAAATATGGGGTTCACATAAGAAATTCCAGTTATTAAGAGTGTTCACGACATAACTTTATTTGATTTTAAATAAGAATTTATTGAAACATAAAAATTATGTGGGTCAGTTTGATTGAATTCGAGTGTAAAATAAATAATCAAACAAAAATTTTTGTAATTTGTTTTGTTATATTGTTATTTTCTAAATTAATTTTAATTTGATAATTAACACTATAACGGAAAAGAATAACGAATGTAATATCTATTAAGTCGTAATTAACTTATAAATACTACGTTTTCATCCATCATAATAAAAGTTTATCTAATTAAGATGAATAATGAGATAGCAAAAAAAAAAAAAGTTCTGTATAAATTGTTATATAAATATAATATCTTAAAATAATTTGAATTGCCGAAGAAGAAACATAAACAATTATTTTGACATTTTAATGTTTCACAGGGATCCTAGATCTTATTTTCTCAATTGTTGCCTACGTTGAAATTCTTTGATGCAAGAAAAGATTCATCCTTCAAAAATTTCCACGTGGGTAGAGTTAAGAGTAAAGAGAAAGGTGGCCATTATCCACAGCAGGAAGGGGTGAGATTACATTACATTGAGAAGAAAATATCCATCCCTTATCCGATTCATCACATTACGTGTACACACTTGGTTGGAGAAGTAGATCATAATCTCATCCTCACTACATTGCGCCATGCAATATCCACCAGGAGTTCGAAACTGCTCGTACCTGCGGGCCAAAGTAGTGGCTCAGCGTACTCCATGCCTTCTACCCCTTTGCTTTTTAGTGGTTGCAATAGATATCATTCGTTCCTAACCGTTCACAATTCACATTTACAACAATACTCTCTTTCCCGCACCAATTGCAGACGCCACAAAGGAGTAGTCACCAACATGGCTGCACAAGCTCTTGTATCATCTTCATCTCTTACCTTCTCAGCGGAGGCTGCCAGACAGAGTCTTGGACCAAGATCACTCCAATCTCCTATTGGCTTCTCCAGAAAAGCCTCCTTCATTGTTAAGGCAGCTTCTACTCCCCCTGTCAAGGTCTTTTCCTCTCTCACTTTGTTATTGTATTTCTTGATCTGCTTGTATACTTAAAAAATCTCTTCCTTTTGGATTCAGCAAGGAGCAGACAGACCTTTATGGTTTGCATCAAAGCAAAGTCTTTCTTACTTGGATGGCAGGTAAATCGCATCCTAGTTAATTAAGTTGGATGGTTTCTAAGGCTAATTAATAACTTAAAATGAGGGTATGATCCTCCTACACTTTTCAACGAACGCCTATAGAATAAGAAAATAAAATGAGCTAAAACACAAGTAGCTATCGGTAAAGTTATTCAAACAAGACGTGTTGAAGGTGGTGGAATTGACCTTTGTTTGGCATCATTTGCTTGCAGCCTTCCCGGTGACTATGGATTCGACCCTCTGGGGCTTTCAGACCCTGAAGGAACAGGAGGGTTCATCGAGCCCAAATGGCTAGCATATGGTGAGGTCATCAATGGTCGTTTTGCAATGTTGGGAGCAGTTGGGTCCATAGCACCTGAAATTCTTGGCAAGGCTGGTCTGATCCCTCAGGAGACAGCACTCCCATGGTTCAGAACCGGTGTGTTCCCTCCTGCAGGAACATACAACTACTGGGCAGACTCCTACACACTCTTTGTGTTTGAGCTGGCGCTTATGGGGTTTGCAGAGCACAGAAGATTCCAAGATTGGGCCAAACCAGGGTCTATGGGCAAACAGTACTTCTTAGGACTAGAGAAAGGTCTTGGAGGTTCTGGTGAGCCAGCATACCCCGGAGGACCTTTCTTTAACCCTCTTGGTTTTGGGAAGGATGAAAAGTCCTTGAAGGATTTGAAGCTGAAGGAAGTGAAGAATGGAAGGTTGGCTATGTTGGCAATCTTGGGTTACTTTGTTCAAGCTCTGGTGACAGGTGTTGGCCCATACCAAAACCTCCTAGATCATCTGGCTGACCCCGTGCACAACAACGTCTTGACCAGTCTCAAGTTCCACTAAATGTATTATATGTTGTTACATATTCTTTACTCTCTTGGTTGTTGTACCCATGCAGTTACCAAAACTCAATCACTTTTCTGCATCCTCTCTTTGCTCTTTGGTACTGTAACATCCTCTCGACATTTGTTCCTTGCTGTGGCGCTCTAAGAAATGACATGTAAAACAACTACAAACATTCCACAACTTATCTTTTTCTCTTTACTCTCTACTTTTCTTAGTCAGTAATTTTATATCAATTTGAAGTGTTTAATTTTATATCGATATAACTTATACAGACCATTAACCTAAATCCTAATCTTGGAACATCTTACACTTGAGTTATAATTATACTATTTTCTTTTATTAACTCCGAAAATATTTTTAATCTCGATTTGATGTGTATTTTAAGTGGTCAGAATTTTGGCAGAGAGATTTTATAAGCACTCAAATACAAAACTAAGAAAAACAAGGACCAAGTGGTGCCATTTGAGAAAAATTAAAAGATATTAGGGTGGTGCTAGGAATATAACCCAACAAAAGTCTCATTTATTTAAGCATGGAACATTCAGTTTAAGCATACAATTAAAAGAAATTAATAGTTTTATATCAGCATCTACTTAGGTTTTTAGTACCAATGTAAATATCAAATTCATTTTTTCCTAAATCTCGTGGCAGTTTAATCATTTTGCTAAAAAAAGAAATAGTGAAATTCATTTATCTCACTCAATTCAAATTGAATATTTATTAATATATAATATTAAATTTAGAAAAAAATATTGGAAATAAATAATAAAATAGAGTATGTAGTTAATCTGTAAAAATAATAAAAAGTTTAATGGTTTTGACAATTTCTTTAACCAGTATTAAGATTTATTAAAAAATAATTAAAAACGAAAATGTTTACATCCGATACGAATAACCCATTTGCACCAAATCTACATTTACGTCTGCATCTGCATCTGCATCTGCAACGTTGTGTTGAGCATTGAGATCTGTATCGCGAAAATCCATGGTAACCTCATCCTTCCTCTCCTCTCCTCTCCAATTAGATCTGTTCATTTCCACTTTGCAATGCGTTGCACATGATACCGCTTTTGCTTTTCCTTGCTCCCGCATCGATTAATTACACATTCCTCGCGTTTTTGCGTCTCGTGTTGTAATTACTTGTTAGCTTTCTCATTGGAGTTGTTTGCGGTTAGAGTTTATTCTTGTGATATGATTCTCTGTTCTTTTGCCGATCTGCATTTCTGTTTTATTCTCTCGTGTTTCACAACTAATGGATCTAATTTCAAAATGTTGATATCTGGTGCTTGCATTTTATTGTTACTTGTTTAAATTCCTGGCATCTCATGTTAAAATGTTTTATTCTATTGTAGATTTCGTGTTGAATGCATCGTTAGAGTTGGTTTATTATTTCGACGTTTGGTGGATAATGGAGGTACCAACCAGGAGAAAACCAGAGATCTACTGTGTTTGCCTTTTCTTCATTGTCAATTTGTTTGTTCAAATTAGCGATGCATTTTATCTTCCGGGGAGCTACATGCACACTTACTCAGATGGAGATCAGATATACGCCAAGGTTAATTCATTGACCTCTATTGAGACTGAGCTTCCCTACAGCTATTACAGTCTCCCTTACTGCAAGCCGCTTGGTGGCGTAAAGAAAAGTGCTGAGAATCTTGGAGAGCTTCTCAGGGGAGATCAGATCGATAACTCTCCCTACCTTTTCCGCATGAATGTTAATCATTCGATCTACCTCTGTACAACAACCCCCTTGAATGAGGTTGAGGTAAACCTCCTGAAGCGAAGAACTCGTGATCTGTATCAAGTAAATATGATCCTTGACAATTTGCCTGTCATGAGGTTTGCCAATCAAAATGGGATTAAAATCCAGTGGACGGGGTTCCCTGTTGGGTACACACCACCGGATGCTAGTGCAGATTACATTATCAATCATCTCAAATTTAAAGTCTTGGTTCATGAATACGAAGGGAATGGTGTTGAAATCATTGGGACCGGCGAGGAAGGTATGGGTGTTATTTCTGAAGCTGACAAGAAGAAGGTATCTGGATACGAAATTGTTGGCTTCCAGGTTATCCCTTGTAGTGTTAAGAGGGATCCGGATGTCATGACAAAACTCCACATGTACGATAGTATCTCTCCGACCAACTGCCCATCTGAGCTAGACAAGTATCAACCGATTAGCGAGCATGAGAGGATATCGTTTACATATGACGTCGAGTTTGTCAAAAGTGATATAAGATGGCCATCGCGTTGGGATGCTTATTTAAAGATGGAGGGCTCCCGGGTGCATTGGTTCTCTATCCTAAATTCACTCATGGTGATTTTTTTCCTAGCTGGTATTGTCTTTGTCATTTTTTTGAGAACTGTGAGGAGGGACTTGACACGGTATGAAGAGTTGGATAAAGAGGCACAAGCACAGATGAATGAGGAGCTTTCTGGATGGAAGCTTGTTGTGGGTGATGTATTTAGAGAGCCTGATTGTTCAAAGCTTCTCTGCGTGATGGTTGGGGATGGGGTTCAGATTCTCGGAATGGCTGCTGTGACAATTGTTTTTGCAGCCCTGGGTTTCATGTCACCAGCTTCCAGGGGAATGCTGCTAACGGGGATGATAATTTTATATCTTTTCTTGGGAATTGCTTCTGGATATGTCAGTGTACGTCTGTGGAGGACCATTAAGGGAACTTCAGAAGGCTGGAGATCAATTTCCTGGTTATCTGCATGCTTTTTCCCTGGGATTGCTTTTATTATTCTAACAGCACTCAATTTTCTCCTCTGGGGCAGCAAAAGTACTGGTGCTATTCCCATTTCTCTGTATTTTGAGTTGTTCTTCCTCTGGTTCTGCATTTCGGTGCCACTTACTCTCATTGGAGGATTTATGGGAACAAAAGCTCCGCAAATTGAATATCCTGTGCGAACTAACCAGATTCCAAGGGAGATTCCTGCACGTAAATATCCATCATGGCTTCTTGTTCTTGGTGCTGGAACTCTTCCATTTGGAACCCTTTTCATTGAGCTTTTCTTTATCCTTTCCAGTATCTGGCTTGGGAGGTTCTATTATGTATTTGGTTTTCTGTTGGTTGTTCTTCTGCTGCTTGTTATTGTTTGTGCTGAAGTGTCAGTGGTCCTCACATATATGCATCTTTGTGTGGAAGACTGGCGGTGGTGGTGGAAGTCATTCTTCGCTTCAGGCTCTGTTGCTCTCTATGTCTTCTTGTACTCCATCAATTACCTGGTTTTCGACCTGCAGAGTTTGAGTGGACCTGTCTCGGCTATACTTTATCTTGGCTATTCATTGCTCATGGCAATTGCAATCATGCTGACAACTGGAACCATTGGCTTCCTTATGTCATTTTACTTTGTGCATTACTTGTTCTCATCAGTAAAGATAGATTGAAGTTTGCTTTGCTATCTCTCACCAACTAAGCAAAAGGCATGCTGGAAGAGGCATCTTTCTTAATTGGTATAACTTTTGCTTAATTCTTTTTTGTAGTTTCATTTCGTTGCAGCATATTGAGTGGGGAAATAGATGTCTGGCTGAATGTAGTAAATAGTTGTCACTCGATTTTATGTTGCTATGCGAACTACTGTTTGTTCCCCTTTCTTCCTGTCTCCCGCTTTAACTAGTGTTTGGAATCATATTGTTTCATGTGATTTAGTTTGGTAAAGTTGCTTGAGGAAGTTGTAATTGCACAGACTATGTTATTCCTTATTCATTCAAATACTGATTAAGAAAAATTAAATGGGTACTTCTAGATTTCTTCAAGATTTCCACTCCTTTTGGTAGTTCGGATTGTTTGTGTTAAATAATGGAAATTTACTTCGTTAACCGTAGTTTTCTATAGTTATCTGCATATCTGGCTTAGTATCATAAATTAATCCTAGATTTCTATTACTTTTCCTCTTGCTCACTGCTTGATATTGAGGACGTACATATTCCTAGTAGATGTGGAAAATATTAAATAAATTATAAATGTATTGAACATGACATGCGAAATTTTAAATAATTGGTGCTTCGGTTTTATAAACAAATTGGAGATCAGTTCATTAGTCAATCTTGGACAGAATTGGATCCATGCCCCTTTCATATTTTGTTGAAGACAAAACAAGTTAAATGGATCCTATACAAATAAGCTGACTTTTATTTTGATGTCGGTGTCTTTATCTTTTATAGCATGAGAGAACATTCGAAGATCTAAATCCAATTTCAGTAGATAGTTCATGAAAGAGATCGCTATTGTCTGCCGCCCATGTTACTCGTGATACAGTTAATCTCATCACAAAGTGAAGCAACCGTTTCCACGATCATATACGTGATTATTGAGTTATGAACAACCCCTATGCCGGAGGGAAATATTTAGTTGCAAGAGAATGATACTGGGCAAGTGGAGGAGCAAATATTCATGAGTTGAAAATCGGCACTACGTGAGAGTTGAGGTGGAAATTATGATAAATCCGTACTTCTCTCCCCTTGAACTAAATTTTCTCACTCTTTTCCGGAAGTACCACTTCTCTTGTCCTTTTTTAACCCCTGTCGAACTAGTAATCTAGGCTAATTCTCTTGATCAGTAAATTATGTCATTTACGTATAATGCTTTGATCTATTAGCTGTCATTACACACTGATATAAGCTGCCTGATGGTGGCAGACTTGTAGGTTTGAATATACCTCATTACATGGAAAGATAAGTTTATTTCCAGGCCGAGTGGCACGGGGATGAATGATCGTTGTAAGGTTTGCGAGTCTTCTGTATGGCCGCGATAGTAGTATCATCTTTGTTAGTTGTTGGGTTTTCGTCGGTTAGTATCATACATCAGAAACAAGAGAAGGAAAAACATTTGAAAGTTACAGGGGCTTCGTATACCTTCCTTGTATGCTTCGCATCAAATTAGGAATCTCGGTCTGTTTCTTCTGGCTACTTTTAAATTAGCCATGCCCTTGGCAGGATACATGAGAAATTCGTGGGTAGATTTTGTCAGCATAGGTTATGTAGGTTAAATTGACTCAATATATATGCAAAATTATTTTATGTGTCTAATAATTACATTATTTTGTGTGATACGATTTCTTTGTAATTAAAAGTAATGACATTTGTTTTTCATTTAATCGTATAGATAAGGCGTTTACAAGAAATCCATACTAGTTTCTCTCAACTAGTTATTCAAAACAAAAGCCTAAAGCATATCACGTAAAAAAATCCTGGCTAGTTATAGTGCATACTTACACACTATATTGGGATGGGAACCCCGTTCCAATCTCCTAAACATTCCAGGACTGGGTCAATAATTTTTGCTTGACACATGGCTGTATATACTTTTTCAAATTCCTCATCTGGTGAGAGAGTTTTTTCTCCGGTGAGCAACCCTATCTCTAACTCCTCCCTCACAAATTTGTACAGTGGATATGACCTGCACTCCTTAATTCTGTTTGGAATTGCTGGATTGCCATTCTCGTAAGTCACCCGTGCTCTTTCAACTTCCTTTGGCAAGAGCGACTTCAATTCATCCTCAAAAGTTCCAATTTTCTCAAAAACTAACAAACTCACATTCTTGTCATTGATGACACTGATGTGTGCTTGCTCATAAAGTACTTGCTTTAGTTTTGACAACAATGGGTACGTAGCATTTGAGGGATCATCAATGTATGAAAATACATATTCTCTATCGACCACTTTAAGCAAATCTTTCTCACAAAGTCGAAATGGATTAATTTCTTCTTTGTCTTCAGTAATTAATGTTTTCAGTGCAACTCTGCTTACAGTATTCTTGACTGTGTTCTTGAAAATTTCCTCCAAATGCCTCAAGTCAATAGCTTGGCAGAGTGCAACCAGATAAGTGGAAGACATGAGCTTTAATATCTCTAGGGCTTCGACAGTTTTCAAAGCCGAAATTAAGCCCAAAGAATTAACATCTTGGTTGTGCTGCTCAGCACTTTGCACATGGCTTGTTACCGGATTTGCTAGATATTGAAGTTCAGAACAATAAGCTGCCATGGCAACGTCAGATGCCTTAAAACCATAATCCAGAGATGGGTTTCTACCAACAGAGAGACTTGATGGCAGCCCATTATTATACAAATCATTGACTAGTTCAGTA